GTGGCAACTTGGTGTGACACAAGAAGGGACCTTTGGTCCTGGTGCTGCTGTCAACATGGCCACGGGGCAGTATTGCAGCCCCCAGACCCCTGCAAAGCCACCTGCACACAGGGAGGCACCCACCCTCACATGTGCTCGAATCCTCACCCACATCCATGTCCTGCACCTTGAGGACACTCCTGTCCCCTCCCCTGCTCCCCAGGGACACCTGCCCCATTTGGCACAGAGCGGCTGGGAATGAGCAAACACGAGAGCCCAGCTGGGAGAGCCACCAGCCCTGCGGCTCCTGGGACACACTCCCAAAAGGCTCCAACAGCACCAGCAGCACCGAAGTCCCGGGAAGGTGGGAAGCTCAGGGGGCTGCGGTAGCACCGGCCTCTCCCAGGGCTTTGCACCAGCACCAAGCTCACACAGCGCTTGCATGCTCCTTTTTTATAGGTGTACTTTTAGGAGTTGGGGAGAGGAGCAGAGGTGACAGGAGGAGGTGATGTGGGACCCACCATGGGCCCAGGTGCTGTCCTCAGTGCAAGGGTGTGAACTTGCAGATGTAGGGATGCTGCTGGGCACAGTCGGTGCTGGACCACAGGGTGAAGCCTGCCAGAGAGATGGCGATTGGTGGGGTCATGTTGAGGAGAGGGCAGCAGCTCTGCCTGCCATAGCTCCCCTGGACCCGGAGGAGGGAGAGGGAGGGATGCTGGTTGAGATGGAGCACTGGAGGTGGATGCAGGGGTCTGTGCACTCACCGCTGAGGTGGGTCAGCGTGCCACAGGTCCCCCAAAGGGCACCGTTCCCAGGCAGCCCACTGGTGATGCTGTACTTGTCCCCAGTCGCCCACTGCCAGGCCTGGCTCTGTGCAGGGAGAGCAGATCAGAGCCATGGCTCTGCTGCCCCCAGCACCCTGCTGCTCCCAGCCTCACCTGCTGCTCATAGCGGAGGCCGAGCCAGACGGGCTGCACACGCTGGTAGTAGGAGATGACCCTCTGCAGGGTGGCTGCTTCCTGGGGCTCCTCCACCCAGGCCAGGTGGGCACCGGCAGAGCTGGCCTGGCACTGCCTCTACAGGGAGAGCCAAGAGTGCCAGGGCATTCCCAGCAGATGGCTCACCCCAGCCACCTCCGTACCCCAGCAGCCTTACCTCGGCCTCATCCCAGCTCTGGAGCTGACTGAAATACTTGAAGCAGCTGAGCTTGTAATAGTACCAGCCCTTGGGGCAGTAGTCTATGTACCGGGCACCTGCGGAGGGAGAGCCACAGGGAGGGATGGGGGAGTTAGCCTCACCAGCCAGAGAGGACCATGGCTCATGCACTGTAGAACTGGCTGCCACCCAAGTCATGGAACTTACCAGCTGGCTGCAGGAGCCCCACACAGCCCAGCAGCAGGAGGGAAAGTCTGGTTGCTGCCACCATGCTCCTTGCTCCTGGAAGCGTCCCCTGTAAGAGCGCAGGGGGTCACATCAAGCCCCTCAGGGATGGGGGATGCTGCTTGTGCCCAGTGGGTGCAGCCCTGCCCTGCCATGGGCTGAATTTGCCTCCTTTCAGCCAGCTGGAGGAGATGGCAGCCCTGGGGCTGTGCCTCCCTCTCCCCTGGCACAGCTCACCACCCTGTGCCAGCGCCCCATCCATCCCCAGGCATGGCTCAGGGTCCCTCCTGCAGCTCTGTGTCCTGGCCCACCAGTCCCAGCCTCGGCTGGGTGAGCCAAGCTGCTCTGTGGGGACAAGGGAACATGCTGCCACAGGCATAGGTAAGGGAAATCCAACCCTGCCCTGGCATCAGGCAGCAGCAGCAACGGCACAGGCAGAAACGCAGCTGGTAGGGCTGCAGGGACTATGCACACAGCATCGCTGTCACCCCCCGAGCTCATAGCATTGCCCAGGCCAGGAAGGCAAATCAACCGCATCATCGCCTTTATCTGGGCTAATCTCTGGGCATGGGGGCTGATTTGCAGACTCAGCTTGTTTTCCCCTCAAAGAAGCAGTGACAAAAGCTAGTGTGGGGCTGAAAATTGCATTGTTGCAGCCTGCCCCAAGCAGCAAGGGCAGCGCTCAGCTCCCCTGGGAGCTGCCAGGGCTGCCACAGGCTCCTGCTCACCCACAAGGCACCGTGGAGCACCCCAAGGCCCCAGCTGCCCTGTGAGGGTCCCCGTCCTCACCTGGTCTCTGGAGATTGGGGGGAATAACAGCTTCTTGTGGGCTGCCGGGAGAGAAGAGCTGCCCTTTATAGTCCAGTGCTCACCAGCATTGGTGTTTGCCCAGATCAGGTGGTTCCCACCATAAAAATCTCAATGCTGACTCCCCTCCATCCCCCCTACTTTGCTGGAAAGATGCCCAGATCTCTGCTCTGTTTGCATTCAGCTTTCCTCCAGAAGAGACAGGAAGAACCTCTCCTAGTTGGTCAATAAACCCCCTGCAATTAGCGTGAATTACCAACGTAAACACAGGGAGAACCTTGCAGCAAAGAGCAGCCTAGAGCCGGGCAGGGGTGCCTGCTGGCCCAGCTCCGGCTGGACTGGGGGCTGGCAGGGGTGAGCCCTAGGGCAGCCCGCACTGATTCAGGCCGGAGCATCCCTGCAGAGAGAGGCTGGGCCATGGGTACCACCTGCTGGCATTGCCCACGTCCCCAGCCAAGGGATGGCACGTGGCTGGGCCCCACGTCCTGCCATGCGTCACCCACACACCGCCCTTGTTTGAACTGCCTGGGAATGTTGTCAAGAGGATGCAGGATGCAGGGATGTGGGAACAGCCTGTGGCCAGGGGCTGGTAGGTGCCATCAGATAGCAGTGGGGATGCCCGGCTCTCACGCCCAGCACTGACGCAGGGCTTCATCAGCTGCATCCTGTGGGAGGAAGGGGGAGGTCCTGAAACAGCAGCCCCCCACCACCACCCCTGCCCCACGGGTACCTGCAGCCTGGCCCTGCGGAGGCTGCTGCTGGCACAGAACAGCAGAGGGGCTGCCCTGGCCCAAGCAGCCAGAGCTCTTCAGCAAGGTCAGGCACAGCCTTCTCTGTCACTGTCCCTGCTCCTCACCCCAGGCTGCCCTCTTGCACTGGTGGGAGGAGGCTGAAGCTCATCTACCTTACTGCTTTGACCATGCTGCTCTACAGCACTGCTTTGCTGGCCAGTATAGCAAAGCAGCTTTGAGAGCTCCTCACACTGCCTGTCCAGAGGGTACAAAGCTGCCCAGTGCCCTGCGGCTGCCAGCTATGGCCAGTGCCTGTCTCTCCTTCCTTCAGACCTCCTCAAGACCGTTGGAGAAGGCCACTGGGAGCTACTCAGGAGGCAGCTACCCACAGAGGATCCATCCCCAGAGGTGAGCCCACCTTTCCCCGACATGGAGGGCTTGCAGCAGGCTGAAGCTCTTTCTGCTGCCTGCCTGGCTCAAGCCATGTGCCCCAGGGACCTCACATGGCTCCTTTGTGGCAGCATTTACTGGAACACGAAGGCAGCAAGTGCTGCTACACCCACAGGGAGCAGCTCCACACCAGCGTGCAGCAGCAGGTCTGGCTCTTGCCTCTTGCCAGGAGGATCAGACCCATCTCTTTCACCCACACAGCCAAGCTAGAGCTGCTGCAGCTTCCCAAGGCTGCTCAAGGCTCAGCCAGCTTGCTAGGCACCCTCCAGCATCAAAGGGGTAAAAGCTTTCTTGTGTCCAAACACATCTGCTGCCTGCTACATTTTCTCCTTAGAGAAGAAACCAGCAGCTCTATCCAATGGAGAAACCCTTCCAACACAGCAACCCCCAGAAGACAGGATTCACCCTTGTTTTGGGGAGAGCCATGAAAACGTTCCCCAAAGGAGCCTGAAGCTACTCCATCACTCCTCGGTTAGGCAAGGGATGCCCCAGCTCCCTGTTTGGCTGGTTCAACTAGGCTTATTTGGATGTAACACACAAGTTTTCACAAGCCCCTTGTTATCCTGGGCGGGGGAAGAGGCATGCACCATCCCTGAGGAGATGCAGCTTCAAGTCTCAACCTGAGCATCATCAAACTCACTGTAGCTGTGCCGGAGACACAGCAGAGCTCACTAAACTTTGGCACAGATGTGCAACCTGTGCAAGAACATGGCTGAAAGCCTCCCGGAGGTTTGCACTTGCCAAGCTGGCTCTGCTGGAAGATAAAGGAGCTGCACTGTTTGAATATGAAACCCTTAAAATGCCCCCAGCAGCTTTATGCCTGCTAGGCATCGTAATTCAGCTACTGGCTCCATCCCAGTCCACAGTGAGAGCTGGAAACTGGCCAGGTGAGCACTAGTGGAGCCCAGGGCTTCAGTGGCACCTCCCTGCTCAATACAAGGCGGCAGCCATTGTCAGCTTGCTCCCCAACTGTTGAAGTCAAACTTCAGTTCCGAAAACAGCATGCAGGAGCCGTGATTCCCCATTTCACAGGCTGGGAATTGCACATCTTCATGCACCAGCTTCCAAGCCAAAGCCAAGAAGGCAGCCTTGGTCCTCCTCCCAGCTGGAAGAACAGTGAACAGTCCCAGGAAGCAAGCAGGACCTGAAAGGAGCAAACCCATGGCTCCAGTAATCACCACCTGGCCCACACTTGCTCACCACCTTTCTAAAAGCCACACAAAAGCACCAGCCCTTCTCCAGCTCCCAGACTCCCAGGCAAGTGAGAGCTCTTACTCAAAGCATCCCAGACAGGCCCCAGTCCAGTCCTTCCCCATCTTTCCCAGTAAGCCCAGCTGCTTGGCTGCTGGTTGCTGCCCCTTCTCAGCTAAGCAAGTCCCAGCATCCACCAGCTTCATCCCTGCTAGGCTGTTTTCAGCTCCTAGGCACAGCTCCCTTGGATGGAGCTAAGTGCTGGGGCTCATGTGGTGTAGAGCCACAGCACAGAGCACCCCTGAGGCCCAAAAGCTCTCTTCCAACATGAACTGCACAGGCCCAAATAAGCCTTCACTTGTCAGGGGTCCGAACCGCCATCAAACACTGAAGATTCATTCATAACCCAGTGGCTGTGCCACAATAGCTGGGAAGCCAAATGAAAACAGCAGCACTCAGACACTGGGCACATACTCTTTATTCTGGGGATAAAAATTGCTTATACATTTTGCAGCAACTATTTTCATAAAAGACTTTTATAAAAAATGTAAAAATAAGCAAATATTTTCCATTATTAATATAGGAAAATGCTGCTGTGTGAATGGTTACTCTACAACTTATGAGATAAAATACCACCTTAAGGAGATATTATCTTTACAAGTAGTTAAAAAAAAGAAAGGCAGAGGGCCATCATATTAACACGCCAGGCATGAAGCCGGCTTCATTCCACAGAAAGCACTCATCTTGTAAAAGGCAGCCACATATTTTAAAAGGCACTTGGTTATTTGGGGCTAACAAGGAAAAGCCCTTTGTTTCTTTAGCACTGATGTAGCAACACTTCATTATTTGCAGTGAAACATGTACCTGGACAGAACTCCGGGAGCTCGCAGGCTCCTGCCTGGAGATCTGAGTCGGTTGCAGCTAAACTTCATAGGATGCACTGCAGCAAGTGTGCCAGGGAACGCTGTGTGCATCGTAAAAAGCAGTAACTTCAGTTAAAAACTTCAGCCCAAAATGACGGCCCCGGGAACCAGCTCCTCCTGAGGCCCTGCCTTCATGTACCATTGAGTCGAATCAAAAGAAAAAGCTTTTGCCCTTGATTAGAGTGGAAAGAAGCATCGAAGGAAATACTGTACATGGTAGGATGCTGAAGGGCCGCTGCTCGGTGGGGAGTGGCCTTCTCTGTCCTTTGGCGGCAGCCGACAGCCCTGATCTCTTTGGAACACGTGTCTGCAGGGTTCCCCTGAAGAGGTAGGAGCAAACGAACCCCAGAAATGTTCACTTGGGCTGCTGACTGGTTCAGAGCCCTTCAGGGAAGCGTTACTCTTGCGGACAAAGCAGAAGGAGCGGCTGTTTTACTAAGGTCAGTGAGAGCTGGCTTCCGTAACTCCACAAATCTCGGGGAAGCTGCAGTACAAATGGCACTACCGCCCCACAGAGAACATGGGGCATCTCGGCTGGGAAACCTTGATATGGGCTGAAGCTGAGAGCAGAGGACAGCCCCAAACCTGTTAACTGAACTTCATCAGGCAACGGTTACTGAGCTATTTTGCCTGCTGCTTAAGGTCAGCTCCTGGCTTCAGGCATGCTCCTCCTGCTGGAAGCCTGCTCTGGAGTCAGTGCTACAGCTTCCTTGATGGGATAGGAAGACAAAGCAGCCCTGTTCCAAGGCTGGAGTGGAAGAGACACTTTTCAAAGGGCTGGACATGGTTCCTGATGCATAAGGAGACACACTGCAAACATGTAATGACATCCTTAACATTTCTTGATAATACCATGACAAGGCAGCATACGGTACCTGGAGGACAGGACACAGCCACCCTTGGATGGAGGGGCAGGGAGTACTGTGCAAGAATGCTGGGAGCTTGTGTTACAAGGTTTTGAAACGCTCATGCTCATACCAAGAGTTTCCCAAAAGGCCTATATGGATTGCAGGGCATCTCTTCCAGCATGGGAGCCCGTGAAGGCAGTCATGGACACACCTGGAAGGACAGGGATACAGGGAGGGTAGTGTGTCAAAATGGTCAGGTGTGTCTCAGGGAAGACATACAACATGGGAGAGATGTGCCTACAGGCCACCACGGGGGGAAGACCAGGTCAGACCAGCGTTTTGGGCAGCAGGGTAAAAAAAATACAACCAACAAAAAGACCTAAGAGAAGACTATATGTATATATATAATCTCATAATACCTGGGGGGCAGGCAGTGAGAGCACTAAGGGGTGTTAGTGGGTCTGTATAAGGCAAAGACTCTGGAAGAGGGCAGGGTGAAGCTGTGTGACAGAAAGCGTCACTTGACCTGCAGGTGTTTTGGAAAGTCCGGCTCGCTTGCTGAGCAAGGGCAGCCGAGGGAAGGAGGGGTCTAGGAATGTGGGTGCAGCTCTGAGCTGTGTCAAGACAAGGCAACTTGAACTCGAGGAGAACTAGTAGAAGGTGCTTCAGAGAGAGGTTACGTGGGTAACAGAAGTAGTAACAAAATAAGGATACGCAGCTGGTTTTGGCTAAATTTCTGGAGAAGTGACCACGAGATGCATTAAGCTGAAGAGCTGTCTCCCCAGAGACATGGTGGAACATGTTTAAAAGCAGACTGGAGAATCCAGTGCAGACAGCAATCACATCCAAGGTGCATGGGAGTTGGTTAGAAGTGACCCAGTTGGTCTTCTCCATCACCAGCTTCTACAGTTCTTTGTTTAGCATAAAAAGCATACAACGCCTACAGCGACCACAGTCCCTTCAAAGAAAGAACAGCCTAGGCTCATTAAGACTCTTGGATACTAAAATGGTTCTTCATTTTCATCCTGGAAGACCTTCATGAGTTCTGGAGTCCACTTTTTGATTGGGCTTCACCTTGGCCAGCCTTCAGGCATACACCTGCATGTTGTTCCGCTGCTGCTCCGTCATGTGGGTGGCGGCCGGCCCACGCTGGCTGTTGCTGGGACTGGTTGCCACATCAGACCAGTCAGAGGCAGAGTGTGGGGAGGAGCTGGACCACTGGTCTGGAGATTCGGGCGACGGAGTCAGGTACGGGTGCTCCCCTTGTAAGTGCCGGTTGTGGCTAGGAGTCCGTTCTGTGGCCGAGGAGTAGCAGCTGTGCTGTGAGGGCGGTGTGGGGTACTTCCCCATCGAGCTCTGGAACTGGTGGTAGGCTGGGAGGACTGTCTGAGCCACCTGCCCGTCCTGCTGAGGGATGGCAGCCATGGAGAATGAGGCACTGGGCAGCTGAGCTAAATCCGGTATCTGGTACATGGAGCTAAGAGAACCAGCCATGTTCTGAGCGCAGTTTGACTGGGCCTGCTGTGGCAGTGCTTGCTGGTTTATGCCACCCTTGGGAACCAGCTGGAAAGTCATGATAGGGGGCAAAGACTCCCTGGACACTCCCATGTGCTTTGTATCTGCTTGCACTAAACCGCTCTGCTGAGAAACAGTGGGATGTGAATGCATCACCTGCGGCACCATGCCAAACATCTCGTACTGGGACTCGTTCACCTCCATCCGGTTCATCCACTCGGCAGAAACGTTGGCTGGCCTGAGCCTGCCAAGCCCACTGTTAGGAGGGGTGGTTCTGTGCTGTGAAAGCAGCTGGCTGACAGATGGGAGCACCGTGCTGGATCCACGACCTAAAGGCTGCATCTCATGGAGGTTAGAGAAGGACATTGTGTGTGCAGCCTGCACAGTTGGAGCGGTCAGCAGTGAGCTGGGTGATGAGTGTAACACCCCTGGTGATGGCATCACAGGCGACGATGTTGGTTCGGATGCAAAAGCATGGGGTGATTCTAGGGAATCAACTGGTGACAGGGTCACTGAACTCTCCGAAAACTGCCCTTTGCCCTCACTGAGGGACTTCTTCCTTCTCCTCTTTGCATCTTTGGTGAGGTTCGTGGGCATGATGCCTTTGGCATTCACTTTTCGTGACTTCTTGCTTAATGAAGTGTGCTTCAGGTTGAGGAAGGACCTATTTGGGCCACAGATGACTGGGGAGAGAGCAGAGTTCAGCATGGCACCTGGGTGCCCAGCAGGACTGTGCGCCACATTGTACTCGTTGAGAAGCTGCACGATGTCATGGTGCATCCGGTCCTGGGCCACGTCTCGAGGCAGGCGGTCCATGTGGTCTGTGATGTCTCGATTGGCAAAATGGTCCAGCAAGATTTTTGCTGCTTCAAAACTGCCTTCCCGTGCAGCAAGGAAGAGCGGTGTCTCCTCCTGGAAACACAGAGAACAGGTATTTTAGCGGCGTCACTGTGGGGTAACTGTCTTACAGCTAACAACCCCTCAATGGTACAGCAACACCTGGAGGCACTGTTTAATGCTGTGTCACATTAATTGTCTCCCAGAACAACCAACACACCCTGAGAGATGCCACTGAAAAAGGCGTATTACAGGAGGTGATTTTATACATGGCAGTGGAGCACAGAGGCTAAAGTATTCCACTAGGAAGTTCACTACCAAGAGCAAAAGGATTCTTTGAGTTAGGAAGCACAGCTCTGCTGAGCACACCCAAATTGTACCTTGTTATCCTGCATGTCTCTGTTGGCTCCATTTTTCAGCAGCACTAGTGTGGCTTCCACGTTATTGACAGCAGCAGCCCAGTGAAGAGCAGATTTACCTGCAGGGAAATCCAACAACTTCAGTAACAACCTAAGGTGCTACCTTCTAAAGCACCAAGATGGACAGAGCATGCTGAGGGAAGAAAGCAACTGCAGTGCAGCTCACAACACATGAACATGTCCTGGAGTTGTTTCCACTTTGAAAGCACCATGCTGTGACATACCCCTACGCTACCAAGATACAATGGGACTTCCAGCACTTGCTCTGGGATTTATTTATTTTTTTCAGGGACTGTGAGAATGAAGACCTTGGGCCCACTGTAGGAGAGGATCTGGTTCGAGACCATCTTAAAAATCTGAACATGCACAAGTCTGTGAGTCCTGATGAAATCCATCCGCGGGTCCTGAAGGAGCTGGTGAATGAAGTTGCTAAGCCACTGGCCATCATATTTGAAAAATCATGGCAGTCAGGTGAAGTTCCTGACAATTGGAAAAAGGGAAATATAACCCCAATTTTCAAGAAGGAGAAAATGGATGACCCGGGGAATTACAGACCAGTCAGTCTCACCTCTGTGCCTGGCAAAATCTTGAACTAGATTCTCCTGGAAGGCATGCTAAGGCACATGATAAACAACAAGGTGCTTGGTGACAGCCAGCATGGCTTCACTGAGGGGAAATCCTGCCTGACCACTTTGGTGGCCTTCTATGATGGGGCTACAGAACTGATGGACAGGGGTAGAGCAGTTGATGTCATCTACCTGGACTTGGGTAAAGCATTTGACACTGTCCCACACAACATCCTTGTCTCTAAATTGGAGACACATCAATTTGATGAATGGACCACTCAGTGGATAAAGAACTGGCTGGATGGCCGCATGCAAAGAGTAGTGGTCAATGGCTCAATGTCCAGCTGGAGACCAGTAATGAGTGGTGTCCCTCAGGGATCGGTGTTGGGACCGGTCTTGTTCAACATCTCTGTCGCTGACATGGGCAGTGGGATTGAGTGCACCCTCAGCAAGTTTGCCGATGACACCAAGCTGTGTGGTTCGGTTGATACGCTGGAGGGAAGGAATGCCATCCAGAGGGACCTTGACATGCTTGTGAGGTGGGCTGATGCCAACCTCATGAAGTTTAACCATGACAAGTGCAAGGTCCTACACCTGGGTCGGAGCAAACCCAGGCACAGCTACAGGCTGGGCAGAGAAGAGATTCAGAGCAGCCCTGCAGAGAAGGACTTGGGGGTGCTGGTTAATGAGTAAATGAACATGAACCAGCTGCAGTGTGTGCTTGCAGCCCAGAAGGCCAACCGTACCCTGAGCTGCATCAAAAGGAGCATGACCAGCAGGTCGAAAGAGGTGATCCTGCCCCTCTACTCTGCTCTCGTGAGTTCTCACTTGTAGTATTGTGTGCAGTTCTGGTGTCCTCAACATAAAAAGGACATGGAACTGTTGGAACAAGTCCAGAGGAGGGCCATGAGGATGATCAGGGGACTGGAGCACCTCCCATATGAAGACAGGCTGAGAAAGTTGGGGCTGTTCAGCCTGCAGAAGAGAAGGCTGCATGCAGACCTCAGAGCAGCCTTCCAGTATCTGAAGGGGGCACATAGGGATGCTGGAGAGGGACTCTTCATTAGGGACTGTAGTGACAGGACAAGGGGTAATGGGTTAAAACTTAAACAGGGGAAGTTTAGATTGGATATAAGGAGGAAATTCTTTCCTGTTAGGGTGGTGAGGCACTGGAATGGGTTGCCCAGTGAAGTTGTGAATGCTCCATCCCTGGCGGTGTTGAAGGTCAGGTTGGACAGAGCCTTGGGTGGCATGGTTTAGTGTGAGCTGTCCCTGCCCATGGCAGGGGGGTTGGCACTAGATGATTTTAAGGACCTTTCCAACCCTAACTATTCTACGATTCTATGATTTTCTATTTTTATCTTTAAAATAACCTACCCAGAGAGTCATGCCTGCAGTCCGGAAAATCCCACCATATCCAACCCCGTATTTCTGCTTCTTTCCCAGGGCTGTCTAAACAAGCTCCTGTGCAAGCAGCCTGCAGTCTATTATTGCTGGGAAAACTTCCACCGGAGAGCCCAGTATGTAATTTAGCCACGGAATTTATGAGCAGCCCACACTCTGGGAGAGCAGAAGCCCATCCCTCCTTACTCACACCATAACAAATATTTGCCCAGCCCAGTATGTCGTGTTCACATTACCGTGGTCATCTACGGCATTCACATCTGCCTGGCAATTAATTAGCTCAGCCACCATTCCTTCCACAGCCAGCCGTGCAGCCAGAATTAACGGGGTTGTTCCATCATTCATCCGAGCATCCAAGTCTGTCACTCTGTTACGGATCAGGATCTGGACAACAGGGAAGACAGAGTTTTTAATACCACTACAGACCAAAACTAAGGATTTAGCAGAAACTCAAGAGAAACTTTATAATGAGAAAGCAGCCTGAGCACTGAAATGTAAGGACACAGATAACAGATGACAGAGGCAAACAGACCAAATAAATACATGCCAGATGATTCACGCATGCTGAGCTCTTCAAGCTATGAATACCTGAAGAAACTGGATGAAAAGTAGTTTCACCTGACCATCACACTGTGGAAGGCATGAAGCAAGACTGTGAGTGAACAAAGTGCAGCTTGGGCTGGTCCATATAATTACAGAGCACAGCTACTCTTAAGTGAGTTCTTTAGTTGCTGTACCTGGAAGACACCCTGGGCATCAGCAGCTACAGCTGCATGCAGGGGAGTCCGTCCCATGTTGTCCCGAGCATTAGCATCTGCACCAGCATCCAGCAAACGTTTTGCAGCATCTGCTCTTGAGTAACGGGCTGCTAAGTGCAGCGCCATCTCCCCAGTGCGGTCTGTCTGGGCCTGCAGGTTGGCACCCTGGTAGATCAAATCTGTTATTATATTCGCTGAGGAATCTTCTGCATCCTCATCTTCCTCGCTGATATCGGAGCTGCCCACACGCAGAGATGCCAACATAAGTGGAGTACATCCATCTGCAACAGAAGAGACATCATAGTAAACTGGTGACAGCAAAGGAAAGGAAACCTTCTCACATTCCCCTCCCCTTGAGCACCTACAGCTACAGACAATCTCTCCGGTCACTTTAACCCAGACTTTTTCTCTTATTGTAAAGCCCAACAGAGTTAGTGAGTTGTTTTCTTTCCAAGCAGGACTTTAATACCTACCTCACCCAAAGAGAACTCAGATACTTCTCAAAAAAGTAACACCCAAAGAGAACTCAGATACTTCTCAAAAAAGTAAGATAGCTATAAGCCAAAAAAAAAATTGCTGCTCAGGTGGAAAACTTCCTCAAAACGTAGAGGCTACCTAAATTCCTAGAGAGAAGCAAGGGCTATAACATTGAGAGAGTTCAGATGATTAAGTGTAACTATTCACACTGATATTCTAATTGCATACCTAGGGAAAACAAACAATTGACCCAAAAAAAATATTGGACAACTAGCCACTGACTATTGGTGGCATTTTGCAGGTATTAATCTGAAGTTAAATGCAGACAAAAGCCTTCATACCTATTACACACCAAGGTCTTCATGAGAAGGACCCTGAAGATGAAGTAGCATCCTACACATACACAAGCCTTGAGGTGCTTCAGTTTCAGCAGACTTTGAACATTACAAGATATTCACTACTCAAAGCCAAAGACTTCAACTGTAGATGCTAATGCTTGCTTACTGATTTTACTGCTTTACTCCACACACATTACAGGCTCAAAGAAAATAAGACGGACTAACATGGCAGCAAGAGTGAACCACTCTGTGCTAAGTGCCCCACTGGAGCTCTGCAAAGGTGAACACAAATTTTGCTTCTCCAGTGTGGCCTGCTAACAGAAACTGAAGACAATCTTTCAGCAACTGCCTGATTTATTCCATGGAGAAGCAGGGGACCTTCCTAGACCCTACAGACAAACAGCTTCCCTGCCTGCACACCTTGCAGTCTACTGTGCAGTATCTGCACTGCATGAAGTGCATGAGCCCTGCTTCCATTTCCCAACTTCAGACCATCTAGCTTTCATTGATCTCTCCTTTACAGCAGTACCAAAACTTTCTAGCAATCTACCGTTCTGCCACAGGGAACAGTGTCGAGCAGCGGCAGAGCGGAGCGCTGTGGCCTCCAGATCTGCTCGCAGCCGGGCTGTCAGTAGCAGAATGCCCGCTCCTCCTGGTGGCTTAAAATGACAGGACACACAGGCTTTCACCGAGATGCTTTCTCAGAATTTGTTGGACGGCAGTGAAGTGTTGACGTATGGCCCTGGGTTCAGTTCCAAGATCCAGCCGTGTCTATAGACCCTCTTGCCTGTTGTCCAAGGCTATACTTCCTTTTGTGCTTCTCCCTCCCACTGCTGGCTTTGCTTCCCTGTCCCAGATGAACACTTCTCAGTATTCAAGTCAGGCTGTGGTCTCCTCCATACTGCCCTGACACAAAGAGCGGAGAGAGGGAGCACAGAAAAGAACTTTCCTTTTCCTCAGCACTACAGCCCTGGAAAAACCACTCACAGGAAAGGTCTTGCTTGCACAATCGCTGCAATTGTCCTCGATGATCATGCCTAGTTGCTCTATAGGGACACAGCTATAGCATGCATTAAATCTTGGAAAAATTAGCTGCAACCCTCCAAAAAAGTCTCTCAGGTACACGCAGTTCTTTTCAGAGCTTTGTAAGTTGGCCACACATGGGTAGCTTTATGAATCTAGCAAAAAGCACATTCAGCTACACCGCCGCAATTAAGTGCTTGATGGACTGCTAGGAAAAAAAAGACACCTACGGACACAATGTCTTTTTTCCTCCTTCCAGCTTGCTCTCTGACATAGCTCGAAAAGAACCCAACGGATCCAGCTGGAGGCAGACACACAGCATGGAAAATTCCAGTCTGAACCACTTAAGTTTTAGTAACTGAAAAGAGGGGCATATAATAGGGACAGTTCATCAGTTTTAATTATAGGTGGTGTTACCAGTTATGCCTATAATTGCATTACCCTGGTTACACACTCACAATAACTCCAGTGAAAAGAATGTCCTCACCACTCTGGGTAACACAGAGAAAGAACAGCATGGGGAGACAAAGGTGAAAGGAGCATTTTATAAAGACTCTTCTGTTTGCTATCTTTCAAGACAGTCCCCAAGTACATGTAAAACACAGAGGCATATGGTAAAGCCAGTTGTTCACCGTACAGATATAACTGAAGGACTTATACAAGCACAATATACTGAAAGCTGAGATGCAAAGAACCCAGTGGCAAAGTCTCTAGGTAATACTTCCATAGGAAACAGGACATCTTGGATTCCTCTAAACTTGAGAGACTGCAGAAGGTGATGGATTAAGAGAGGGAACAACCCCTTGGTACACTGAGGCATTTCAACTTGCCCCTCCTCTCTCTAGAAAATACCTCTACTGTTCAACCTGCCACCTGCACCTGTGGACGGGATCTAACTCATCAGCTTCACATGGCTCCAGTCCAGACACCTGCACCCAACTCAGTCACCCTCAACACCCTTTGTAATTAGGGGCAGCAAAGCATTACTGGAGTGTGAGCCATTTAGTCTTCAGGAGACTTCTGCTCCAGACACAGATGAAGTGCCTCTCAGAACCATGTATTTCTGTTCTCTGCCTACAGAGGAAGAGGAAGGTGGCCAGGGCAGATGAATAGCTACATCAACTGTGAGTATCCTACCCTTCCTTACTAACACATTACTCCAGCAATTCTCAGACTTTTTGAATGATTTCTTCCCCTGACAGTAACCCAGAAGCTTGCTTCTGATGTTGCAGAGGGGGATCACTTACAGCAGCTTGCTGCAAGCTCCACAGTTGCATCTGAATGGCAGGAAAGCAATTCACAGGTCAGTATTATTCCATTGCTATTGTTGGACAAAGCTTTGGGTGAATGTGAAAATAAGCAGTCTGAAGTCTTAAGAACGTCACTGCCTGCACTTGGAAAGCTTTCACCTCGCCACACAACTAGAAGCTCCAATGGGGGAAATAAAGGAAAGATTAAATTTGGCAGAAACTTGTGGTTTATGTTCTCACACTCGTTACACAGAATTCCCTCCTTCCCTGTGCTTTGTATTTAGGAGACCTAATGGGTCAATGAGCAGAAAAGACAATGGAAGGGAACTGAGAGAATGGGTCCAGTCATCATTAAATTGCATGGAAATATTCCCACAGAAGCCAATAAAAAGTCACTGCAGCAATATAATGAGAATCACCTCTCAGCAAGCCATGCTTGCAGCTCTTCTGACCAGGATAACATTGTTGGTCAACCCTCTCTCTCCTAGAACACCAGAATTGTTTATTACCAAATGACCCAGTCCCCTACCAGGTTACACAGCCTTACTGCTACACTTACAAAAAGCAGTAGAGCATTCTTACTTCATCTAGTAGTTTGAGACTGATGAGACTGTCCACATGTGTGCATGTTAAAGAAATCTCCTTCAAAGTTCACAGTTGTGCTATAAATTCAATAAGCTGATCACTGTAAGCTGAAGATATAAATGAGGGATGTTAAGGATAACAGGAAGGGATTCTATAGGTATGTAGCGAATAAAAGACAGACCAGGGACAACGTGGGCCCTCTCCAGAAGCTATCAGGAGAACTGGCTACCCTGGATTTGGAGAAGACTGAGGTTCTTAATGACTTCTTTGCCTTGGACTTCACTGGCAAATGCTCTGCACATGCACATGTGCACATCCAGCATGGCTTCACTAAGGGGAAATCCTGCCTGACCAATCTGGTGGCCTTCTGTGATGGGGCTACAGAACTGATGGACAGCAGTAGAGCAGTTGATGTCATCTACCTGGACTTGTGCAAAGCGTTCGACACTGTCCCACACAACATCCTTGTCTCTAAATTGGAGACACATCAATTTGATGAATGGACCACTCGGTGGATAAAGAACTGGCTGGATGGCCACACACAAAGAGTTGTGGTCAATGGCTCAATGTCCAGTTGGAGACCAGTAACGAGTGGAGTCCCTCAGGGATCGGTGTTGGGACCGGTCTTGTTCAACATCTCTGTCGCTGACATGGACACTGGGATTGAGTGCACCCTCAGCAAGTTTGCCAATGACACCAAGCTGTGTGGTTCGGTTGATACTCTGGAGGGAAAGGAATGCCATCCAGAGGGACCTTGACACGCTTGTGAGGTGGAGTTTAACCATGCCAAGTGCAAGGTCCTACACCTGGGTCGGAGCAATCCCAGACACAGCTACAGGCTGGGCAGAGAAGAGATTCAGAGCAGCCCTGAGGAGAAGGACTTGGGGGTGCTGGTCAATAAGAAAATGAACATGAGGTGGCTGCAGTGTGTGCCCGCAGCCCAGAAAGCCAACCGTATCCTGGGCTGCATCAAAAGGAGCATGACCAGCAGGTCAAAGGAGGTGATCCTGTCCCTCTACTCTGCTCTCGTAAGACCTCACCTGGAGTATTGTGTGCAGTTCTGGTGTCCTCAACATAAAAAGGACATGGAACTGTTGGAACAAGTCCAGAGGAGGGCCACGAGGATGATCAGGGGACTGGAGCACTTCCTATAGCCTCAGATAGGCTGAGAAAGTTGGGGTTGTTCAGCCTGGAGAAGAAAAGGCTGCGTGGAGACCTCAGAGCAGCCTTCCAGTATCTGAAGGGGGCCTATAGGGATGCTGGAGAGGGACTCTTCATTAGGGACTGTAGTGACAGGACAAGAGGTAATGGGTTAAAACTTAAACAGGGGAAGCTTAGATTGGATAGAAGGAAGAAATTCTTTCCTGTTAGGGTGGTGAGGCACTGGAATGGGTTGCCCAGCGAAGTTGTGAATGCTCCATCCCTGGCAGTGTTCAAGGCCAGGTTGGACAGAGCCTTGGGTGGCATGGTTTAGTGTGAGGTGTCCCTGCCCATGGCAGGGGGGTTGGAACTAGATTATCTTAAGGTCCTTTCCAACCCTAACTATTCCATGATTCTATGAATTTAAAAAGTCATTAACAATCTTGGTATATTGCTGCTCTGTTCTAGCACAGATGTCTCACACACTGCAAATCAGGGTATACTGTCTGCCATAAGTCATTTTATTCAGGAAAAGGCCATCCTGCTTCCACCCCAAAAAACCAGACACCTCAGGTATAAACCCAGTTAACCTGGTCCTTAGCAGACTGGCAGAAACCTCTCCAATGATCCAGCTGGAGAAGCTGCGTGTTACTTCTGGCACAACTATGCATTCCAAATTTCTGCCACAATGGCATTCTGACAGTATGTTTTAGACATGCATTGTTATAAAGGAGATCCTATAGCTGTACTTCCTGCAGGTGCTTCCTAAGTGAACTCTTTTTTTCCTGGTTACATGATATTCCATGTGGTACAGACCATGACCCAATCTCTCCAGCTTTCTTTTTTTGGAATACACATGAGCTTTCCTTAAGTACCCCAGAATTTCTGCTGATGTTCCTGTAAACTTCACATACTTTTTAAATGTTAGCAGTCCCAGCCACTGGAGATAGGGAAGGTCAGTGGCAGGCTGGCAGAACACATGGGCATTCAGAGTACTGACCTGGGCCTCTGACATTGACATCCAGAACATCCACTTCTTGATCTGCTTGAGGTGGTGTAAGGGCTAGTGATGTGCTCCCACAGACATCTGCTGCCTCCAAGTGCTGCTGTGTCCACTGGCGCTGATCTATCTGCTCATCACCTTCTGGGAGCAAGGCTTGATCCTCAGCCTGAACACAGGAAATAAACAGTTACTTCAGGATGCTCATCAGGAGGCCAAAGACACTGAATGTTCTTAGGGTTTTCTTAGTTCAGTTGGGTTTTGTTTTTTGGGGGGTTTGTGTGTTTTTTTTGTGGTTTTGGGTTTCTTTGGGGTTTTGGTTGGGTTTTTTGGGGTCTTTTTTCTGTCCTTTTTTTTTTTTTTGTGTGTGGTTCTTATTGTTTTAAGCTAACGATGGTTTCCATTTACCTCTGCTTGGCATTCCCAACTTTTACACTCCCACCATACATTATGAGGCCTGAACTGCAAGACATTACACCACTGACAATGTTCCCTTTTGATGCAGGAAGGGCTGGGTAGGGAGGGGACACTGAAACAGGAGTTACCTTCTTTCTTTACTGGCCTGTGGTGGCAGTGTTAACCTGAGGATTTGTTCCTCAGATATCATTAGCTACTGTCCTGGGTTCAGCAGTAGCAGTCATTTTTAATCCTTCTTGGTAGCTGGTGCAGTGCTGTGTTTTTACTTTTGGCCTGGGAACGGTACTGATAGCACTGATGTTTTTAGTTACTGCTCAAATGTTTGGTCTGGCCAAGGACTTTGTGAGCCTCATGCTCTGCCAGGGAGGAGGGGAAGCCGGGAGGAAGCAGAGACAGGACACCTGACCCAAACTGACCAAAGAGGTATTCCATACCACAGCACGTCATGCCCAGGATGTAACTGAGAGTTACCTGGAATGGCTAGTTCACTGCGGGGTTGCACGAGGTATTGGTCGGTGCTCGGTCAAGTTGGGGGGGGGGGGGCGAGCTATCTGTCAGCAGGTGGTGAGGTGTTGTATTCTCTTCCCTTGTTATTTCTCTTATCATTATTACCATTGGTGGTAGCAGCAGTGATTTGTGTTATACCTTAGTTACTAAACTGTTCTTATCTCAACCTGTGGGAGTTGCATTCTTTTTGGTTCTCCTATCCGTCCCTCCTGGAGTAGGGGGAGGGAAAGAAGGGGGGGAGTGAGTGAAGGTGCTGTGTGGCTGGGTTTAAACCACAACATTACAATTCCTTGCGCAAACAGAGGTTTTGAACAAGAAGCATGTTCTACAACTTAATGCGGCTGTTTTCCTCACCAGGGGTTTCAGGTGGTATTCAAGTTGTTGAGCTCCTTACCTTTGCTCTCTTTGGCTGAGGTCCACCATCACCTGCCCAGTGTTCAGTTGGTCCGGAATCTGCCAGGTTACCCTCTGGTATCTGGACTGACAGATTTCTAACAAACAAGGAGAACACATCACTTTGCAGACAGAGCAGGTGCTACAACTGATACTTACAGTGGCCTGCAGAGACCAAGGAAGGGATGCTTGCAAGTTTGGTAGCTTGCAAACAGAGGGGCTAAGAAATTAGGAATCTCAGGCAGATAACAATGGCGTTAAATGCATTTAGAACTGCAAACTTGGTTAATTCAGTGGAAAACCAGAAGTGCATATATTTCTTCTTTTGAAGCTTTCAATTATTTCTGAATCATGTCTTTAATGGGATACACGTAATAAAAGTTCATTGTCACCTATCAGCCTAAGAATGTCTCACCTGTTCCAGGAGGAAATAGGCAAACAGTACGCAACTGCTGAAGTAAACAGTGTCAAAAACCAAAACATAACCAGGAGATCAAATTTCTTACTAGCATTTTATAGATTAAAATTCTTTGTCCGAAACAGACGCATTAAAATTTAGAGAAATAACCTAAGAAATTCTATCTTATAAGGAGTTAACTGCCTTTAATGGAAGAGGTATACACCACATTCAAAATCCTCTAACATGCTAATAAACAAACCATCAGTGGCCTAAATGCAAACTTACTTGAGTCCAACAGCATCTTCCCCAACTGGCTCTCTGCGCTTATGATTACTAGGATCTCTGCGCAGAATAAAGCCCTCTGGGAGCCACAGAGAACCATGTTTGCGCTTACGCTTTGCCATCATCACACCCAAGAGAAGGATTAAGAGGATGATCAAAGCTGCCACAGCAAGTAGATAAAACAACTGGGTCTTCGGTGGTAACAAGGGTTCACCTAAAAATTCCAGTTAAAATACAATGAGATTAACAAGGTGGAGACAACAATCTACAATCTACATACTCCTTTTTCTCACTCACTATCTCTTCCTCACAGAGAGTATAATGTCTCTATACTGTGACGCATTTAGAGCAAAGGCTTGAGGAAGTTTAGGCTTTGCTGCAACTCTTGTAAGAATTTACCCTGTCTTCTCAAAATATTTTTTAGAGTATATGACTGCTGAACTGAAGATCCTTCTCCTTCCACAGGAGTCTTGCTGGCTCAAGACAGGCCACCCTCAATCAGTGTACAGAGCTGATCTACATAAAGATATATGCAAGACTTAAGAGCACATGAATGGTTTTTAGTGGAGACAAGGTAAGTGCAGTGTGTGTGTACTGCCATAGCACATAAAGAGATTAATGTTTCTACAGGTGAGCTATGACTAGGCTCCAAACTTAAATGCCTTGCCTTACTAACCCGATGTCCACTCAGAGCAGAATAAACCTATTGCACACGTATACTTCTATAACTAAGGAAAACAAGTTAGCTTCCAGAAACCCCACTGAACAGTGAGACATATTAAGATGATGATCAATAATTTGAGCATGAATTCTGCAAGCCCAGGTTTGATGACTTCCTTCCTCCACAAGCAATTTTCCCTCTTCAATTACTTACTTTGGACAGACACAAAAGGATATGGCAACATGCCCTTGATAGCCTGAGCAGCTAAGAGAGCTGCAGCAGCTTCTGTGTTCTGAAAGCATTGCTCTGAATCCTCTGCACACTGACGGTTGTCAATTTCCAGGAACACCCTGGTGCTGCAGAGACACAGTAAGAGGTCACAGAAGTGAGCAACACCTTTGCAAATGCACTAGGTTAAACTTCAGGTTTTTAAGATAATCTTTCCACCCCAGAACTGAATTTGTCCCCATTAAAAAAAAAAAAAACGAAAGAAAACAAACAAAAAAAACCCCACAATAAAAACAGACCACAGCCCCAGAGGGTCCAGAATGGCCCAGACACCTAAAAGCAAGAGCTACCAGCATAACAAGGCTAGAGGAAAACAGAGGCATCCACTCACCCAATGACCTCTTGCTCTAGTTCTCTGTGCTTGCGAATGATCACAAGTGACCGCCGACTCCGTGCTGCAGATTTCTCCCCATAGTACGGGAATACCATGGGATTTCCCTGGGAGTCCAGCTTGATTCTCAGATTGGTGTGCAGGAGAGTTCCCAAGGTGCGCAAGAAACTGCGAACATCACCCAGCAGCTCGTCAGGAGGCATCAAGACCACAATAATCAGGGTCCCTTCAGCCAGCTTCTCAGCTTTGTCACCAGCACAGTCCAGACCGTCCCAGCCACACTCTTCACTATTACAGCCCTGGTCACAGCGGCCATCTGCATAGTGATCTGCACAATACTTGTCATACCTAGAACAGTGAAACAGTTACAGGCAGCATATAGGCCATACACATTCTGTACAGTGTACCTGCACTCTAGGGGCCAAAACCTTACATTCTTCATAACCATTTGAGATAAAATAATATTCAGGACATATGAGAAGAAATACAAACCCAGGATAAGCCTGCAACTTGTCAGGGTGGAATTAGGAAGCACAGGACACCTCAAAAACAGGCAGTTCAATTCTGGTATCAGCGGAAGCGAACTGCTTATTCTGTTCACTAAGATAAAGCTATAACACTTCTTGCCTCACCAAGGGTGAATCATCACAGCAAAGCTGTAATGTTTATCACAGCTGAAGAGAAAGAAGTGCCACAAAAAAACAAGGTAGAAAGCGCATTTAGAGGTAGCAAATACAGCTGGGATAAAAAGAAGTAGCACATTTAGAGGTAGCAAATAAAGCTGGGATAAAAACAGAGGTATTACTGGTATAGAGTGAAATTCAGGATACGAGGCAGTACTATTAAAACCCAGTACAAAGTGAAATGCCCCCTATTTACATTTCCAAAGCAAGAAGAACATTTCCATCAAGCACCACCAATGCTCAGGATATCAACTTAGTTCACTGCATACAAATTGCAGAACTTCTTTCCAAAAATAGACAAAAAGTACATAAAGCAGCAGAAACTCTCTGATGCCAAACTTTCAGCAAGAGCAAGGACCAGCAACAGAAACAATGAAAGAGATGGGAGCAGCAGGCACAAAGTGTACCAATTATTGAAAGCACTAGCAGGAGATACATTAGTGATGCAGAGAACCTGTTCTCAGGATGAAGCCTTACTTGCATGTTTTGCTATTCTGCTGACACTCAAAGTTGTCAAACAGGCACTCTGGTGTGTTGCAGAACTCGTCACACTGTCCATTGAAAAGCATCCAGCAGCGCAATGAAGAGGAGCAGTTGGCCCAAGGATCTTCCATTGTCAGTGAGCAGTCGCCTCCATCCCACTGGCAGGCATGAGTGTTACAGTCTTCATCACAATAGCCATCTTTTGCTTTTTCCGTGCACTGGGAATCCAAACATCCTCGGGGCTCTGGGCTGAAAGTTACGGGCTGTTCACACTGGCTGCCTTGGGTGTGAACAGGGCACTGACAGTAATAGTAAGGAGGCTGAGAATGAGGGTGGCAGCTTCCACCATTCTGGCAGGGGGCACTGGCACAACCCGTGCTTGTCTGGCACTCCTCTCCCACAGACAGTTTGGGGCAATAGCACCGCGGACCAGAAGATGTCTGGATGCACTGCTCCCCTTTCTTGCACTTCACTTGTCCACAAGTACTGTGGCTGCTGAACTCACATTTTGCTCCAGAATAACCCTATGGAGGGGGAAAAAAAGGCAAAACAATCAAGCTCACAAACCTATTCTTCAATACTATGAGGGCTGGAGACAAGAGGAAAAGGGCAAACCCTTTCTCCCTCATAAAACCTCTAGCCTCATGCAGGAGCCATGAACCTACCAGGCTCCGATACATTTTGAAACGGGTTTACAAGAGCCATGAACAATGGGCATCTTGAAGCAAGCACACAGAACACAAGATAGCAAAATAAATAGTCACAATGTAATGCTAAGTTTAAGCCAGAAAAGCCAGCTGTCATGCCTCAACAGCAGAACTGCTGGGGGCAACAACAGGCAGCATCGCTCTCTTAGGGCACCTGGAAGCCCTGGGTTTCCCAGCTGACCAGATAAAGGATGTGAGTAAAGTGTGTCCAAGGAGACAGCTTTGCAAGTAGTACAGAAAAGATAACATTCACCTACTGTGGACCAGTGAAACTAATGATACTGTAGCCAGAGAACTACAGCTGAGGCAGGCAATCCAGTTTCAGATGCTTACCGGAGGACACTGGCAGATGAACCCATCCGGCATATTGCTGGCAACAGCACAGGTACCTCCATTCTGACAAGGCTTCCGGGGACACACATCTATGACACTCTCACAGTGACGACCTGAGATGTGGACACACAGGGGGAAGAGAGCAGAGAAATGTGCATGTGTGCACATCAAAAAGCCATCACAAAGCAAAACAGGTAGAGAACATCTCTTCAGATAACACATGCTCTGTTAGTAGCTAAGTAGTGGTACAGGAAGACACAACCCCAAAATCTACAAGGTGTATCTGGAGAAGCCCACCTTGTCTGCCTCCTCAAAAATGTCTGCAACCCACCACAAAGACAGAAGTTGCTGCTGTCACCCCCAAGTCAGCCAGGCAGAGAGGCTGAAGGTGCTGTACCACATCAGTTTGGGGGTTCCTAGGATTTTCTTACTTTTTGGAGATGCTCAATGAGTCCAAAGGGATATCAAACTAACCATGAATGCACAACCCTCAGGACCAGATGCAACACGTGTAAATAAGACAAGCAAGTGGACTTTCCTCAGAACTGATCAGCTAGACAGAGGTCTTACTGTACTGACTAGCATTTGCAGCATCTCCCAGACTCAAACTCTGACATGAGACTTTAAAGAGATGAGGATGACTTAAGCATGACTTGGATCCCCTAGGAAAACATTAATAGAAGTTTCTACACATGTGCAGCCAAGACAGACTGCCTGCAGACAGGGCAGGATGGCCCATGGAGTTCTGGCATCCTATCAGTCACAAGCCACAGCAAAGCTACCCCATCCCCTCCCAGGCAGAAAGGTCAATGAGGAATGCACTGAAGATGAACAGCTAGCGGAAGAAGCATGATCCCCCTCTGTGCCTAACATTTCCAGACAGATTTCATCTCTGAGACACAGCAGCTCTCTCTGCTCCTCCTAGGATGATGCACTCCCCACACTGCAACTTCCAGCAACCCTTCCATGACAGCCAGAAGCAATATGAGGCATAATTCATAAAAGCAACCTTAACAGACAGACTTAAATACAAACCTGTCTGATAACCTGCACTGGTGTCCCACTAGCTAGCCTGGTTCCACTTCCCTCATATGTCGCTCTTTTAGGAACTTTTTTTTGTCAGTCTAGGTAATGCATATAAAACCACTACATTAAATCTTCAAAAGTACGTCTTTGTGATTTCTTTGATTCTGACAATCACAAATTTAGTGGAAAATCATAGCAGCTTTACATTTTAAGAAAAAAAAGAAGAGTAAAAACTACTGGTAAAGCATGAAGAGAAGGTTATCGGTAAGCAGGGAAAGTGAAAGGTTTAAACAGAGGAAAACTGAATACACAAAAAGTTAAATTGACACAGAAACTGGAAAGCTGAAAGTTAAGACACATCTGGAGACTATTAGCCAAAGCTTCTGCCCAGTGGGAGGCAGAAAGCAGAATAGCTGCAATACTAACAACCAAGACACCTAGAGAGAGTGAGACACAAGTTTTCCCAGTGTGACATTCTTGCAAAGTTGTGATTCAAAGTTGGATTGTGGAAGGGTCACATCACTAAGCTAGGAATGTACAGTCTGTCTATACAAAGAGTATTCCATACTGACCACATCAGCAATATAAGGAGGAAAGGGCGCAAGGAGTAGAAAAGAGGCCAAAAGCTAATTATAGATACCATGATTTATACAGAAAATTCATATGTTTCTTTGCAAGAGAAAAATCCATCGAGAAGCTGACATGTGAACAGCTACAATTTCAATATTAGAAATGTTAAATTATGAAGAAAAGTACCACAGAAAAAAATCCTGGCAGCTAGGTGTTTCAGGAGATTCTTTTGAGACAGCTCTGGAAACCAAGTTTCTTAGAAGGTTTAATAGATTGCTTTAAAAACTGAGACATGGTGTAAGGAAATAATCAGATATTGTAAGGGGAAGTGACTAGATAATATGATTGCCAGAAAGGGAAAGAATGACCATTCTTCAAGATATTACTCTGAAATTGGAAGCATGTTTACAACTACTCACCAGTAAAAGCACTACGACAGATGCACGTATAATCATTTATCAGCTGAACACAGTCCAGACTTCCACGAGGGTTACAAGGATTAGAGAGGCATTCATTGATATCTCCCTCGCATCGCTCGCCTGCAAAGCCTGGGAGACAAATGCAGCTGTAGCCCCCAATCTGGTCAATGCACTGCCCTCCATTAAAGCAGCGAGGTACTCCTGAGTCTGAAACACAGTCATCGATGTTCTCCTCACAGAAACGGCCTGTCAAGACAGCAAAAAGTGTCATGGCTTCATTTCCTAAGCTGCTCATCAAGTTTTAACAGTATGTTACACACAGGCTCTGATACATACAACTTAACGCAATCCAGACCCCATGCAGACAGCCTCAGATCAGACCTAGGGAGCATATATTCTAGATCCAGGCTGTTCTGAATGGTCATACTGGTACTTAGCAGCTTTCATGCTTAACTTAATTTAAGGACATAATTAAAAAGCAGAAAACAGAACAAAACCGAAAAAGATGCACTCAGTTTAGCCCTGCGACTGAACACAGGCAAAAAGCCCTATGCTGTCCTTGCAAGGCTGTGAGCTTCCCACCATTCATTTAATGTGGTGGTAACCCTGTAACATGGCAAAGAGCATTTGTAGCAACAGCATTAAAACAAGCAACAACAAACCAACAGAAACACAACTGTGATAAAACACAGACTGCTGGCCAGCATGCCATTCCTGCAGCTGGACTTCTGGGGATCTACAGTAAACTCTAAACACCATGAGAAGAAATGGCAGTTTCTCCTTCTCCCTACAAGGTTCTTTGTAAAGAGACAATGTCTTGTACTGGTTCTGCCTTCACCACAAGTCTAACAGATGAGAGGGGACAGAGAGGGTAAGTTGGGAATTAGTTTTGTCTGTTAATAGAGTTGATTTATCTGAACAAGTCAAGTCATTCACCTAAACATGTTTATACGCTTACGCTGGCAGCAGTAAAGGACTCATTTCAAACTGGGCCTGGGACAAAAGCTAAGTCATGAGCTATAAGTTATTGTATCAATCTCCTCTAATTCCTTTCAATTACTAAAAAAAAAAAAAAAAATAATAAAAATCTGTCACATCCAAACAGTAATTCACCTCAACAAATAAAAACTGAAGAATTAAATGCAGTACAATACAATTAAGAACAATACATGAAGAATTGCTAATGCAATGATTTATAATGAAATAAACACTTATCCAGACTGAGGAGATGTGCTGACAGCCATACTGAAGCGAATGAACTGGTAATATGCACGCACAGGAGACAGATAACGTTAGATCATTTTATAATTTTACTTATATTTACTTTATGAACAAAGAATTTAGTTCTATCTGACACACATCTGGAGATCTTGCCTATGCTGAGATGACACACTTCGGAAAGAAAATACAAGCTCAGAGGAATGTAAAATTTTTAGCTGACTTGAGAAATAAACTTAAGAGAAAAAGTGAGAAAGCATTCACCGAGGGATTAAAAATGCAAAATCCCGAGTATTTCAAAAGGGAGAAGTCAGGGCCGTCAGGTGAGAAGTAACAGGGAATGAAAGGTTAGGTTTCAGGAGACAAGACATCAAACAGGCTGTGGAATCCTCGTTACTGAAAACCACCATCATGTAACTGTGCTGGGGTTTTGTTGGTTTAGTTTGCTTGTTTTTTAAAAAAAGCTTTTAATATAAGCTTGAATTTGCCAAAATAGTTAAAGGTAGCTTACAGGCACTGAACTTCGATGGATTCATACAATGCTTTGGGTTGGAAGAGACCTTAAAGATCATCTAGTTCCAACCCCCTGCCATGGGGGGCAGTCTTCGTACAAAAGACTTCAGGACAGAGTACAATACAAGATGAAAATTTAAACAAGTAAAGGACACTGGAAATGCAGTGAACTTTATGTAACAACTAAGCAAGTTTTCTGTGTATTTCGTAGCATCTCAGCCAAAAAGAAACCTTGAATTTACTACATCAAAACAGGGTCAGGAGAAACCTTAATGGTAATCTCATCCATCCCCATTACCAAAGATAGATCATACATTCCCAAAGGATGCTGTCATGACCTATTCCTTAAAAAAAAAAATATTAAAAAGAAATGGAAGGACAAAAAACCCCCGCATTTATTTTTAAAGGGAAAATATGGACCTCAAGGGATTCAGTGCACTTTGGGAACATTCTTCAAAGAAAATAATGCATTCCCTTTAGACTCTGCATTACAAAACCAGTAGTCAGAAAGGAAAATTCACTTTTGTAACATTCACTTAATTGCTGAGCTTCATACCCCGAGTTCCTGGTGGACAGGAGCACTTGAATTGGTTGATGAGGTCTATGCATGTTCCTCCATTCTGGCAGGGCTGAAACTGGCACTCATCCACTTCATATTCACAGTTGACACCCTGGTATCCAGGCACACACTGCCAGTATAAAAATAAGTATGAATAATCTTCTTCTAACAGATACACTGATAGACATCTTTGAAAAGCTAACACAGACAAAACAAGCCCTCAGTGAAACAGATTATGACTGCCTTTGTAGCTATACAACTGCAAGTGATTTCAAGGGCTGCGAAGCCAGCCAGCTTAAGCACACAACTTGACCATGTGACTAATCAACAGCACACTGCATGATTGAATTTGAGTGACTTTATTCCTGCAAAATGTAGTGGTCAAATCCTGACACACTCTAGCACTGGGACTAGTTTAGCCGTTTTGACTTAAGGTTTACATAAAACTCATCCTTTCCTTCTGGGCATGAGTTTCCAAGGTGTTCTACCATTTTGAAAAGCTTAGGAATGTTGATATATCATGAACTCATGGTCTATACTGCTCTCTGCATCAGGTGTAGGAAACAGAAAGCAGTGGAAGGCATCTCCCGCCCTGAGAGATAAGGGATACTTTGCCCACCCAGTAGGGAGAACACAGCATTCCTTTACTGCATTCTACATATATTTTAATATAAATCACACCTCAGGCAAAAAAATCAAGATAAGAACTCCGTCTCCAAACAGGCCAGGAGTTCAAATGCCCATCAACCACACCTGCTTATGATCACTCCCCTAATTCCATTTTAAAAGCCTCTCAGGAGCACTGCTTTGGCCACAGCTAAATTAAAAATTCTTTCCAGGTGCAGGTTGCTTTCACCCCCTCTTTGAAGCTATTCTACCACTTGCATGTGTTTCTGATTTCCTTTGATTCCTTTGCATTACAATGCTCTTAAATATTTAGGCCTCTTCCTACTAAATCACCATGCATTACCTCGCACTGGTATCCACCCAGGTGATCCCGGCAGGTAGCACCATTCTGGCAGGGGCTGGAGTCACATTCATTCAGCTGCACCTCGCAGTAACTGCCAGTGTAACCCACCTGGCACTGACAGTGGTGTGTGTTTCCCACATTGAGGCAGTGACCAGAGTGCTGGCACAACTGGTCCACTGAGACTCCTGAAACAAAGGTAAATAAAGTGAGTAACCATGTAAAAAACACTTGCTGCCAGCGTTGGTAGCTCAGCCAGGAATTAATACGGTTAGACCCAACAAATTGAAAAGCTGAAACTCGAAAATTGGAGAGCTACTCTTTAAATTACAGTGGGTCAGAGCCACAACTGACTTCCAGATGAAGTCACTGCTCTGACCCCTTTGGATCATCAGCATCAACACGGGCATGAAGTATCTGTATTGCTGTATTTGTATTGTATATTAACACTGGCTGCTGAATACATATCTGAAGGACTACTGTTGCAGTACAAAGGTTCAATGTTTGCAAATGTCTGTAAAAAGGTACTGGAGCTTGGTATCCTTCTCCTTTGACATTGAATATGCTTGCTTGGATTTCCTGGACTGAAAATGGCATGACACTATCCATCAGCCTGGAGTACAAGACACCTTCCAAGAAGAAATTAACTGAAAACCTAAGTCTTCTCCATGCACATCATCTGAAGCAGGAAATCACTACCTTGAGGCACCATGGTATTACCTATATAACTAAACAGCACATTTAGTAGCCAGTATTCTCTGAGAAAATGCCTACAAAGATCACGAGTTTTGAGATGCCCTTCTTGTACAACGACAACATGTCTTAAACCTGCCCTGCCTGGGATTTAGCAGAAAGGTATAAACAGCTGATGTATTGTCCAAAAAGGCAGTCCATGGAAAGCAGTATTACTGAAACTCTGAGACTTCATAAAATATTTAATTCTCCTTTTCTAATATTTTTATGGTAGAATTGTTACGTCAGGAACAATCAGGAAAGACTTGACTCCCAAATATATCTGTGCTGAGAGCTTTTTAGCTTAGAAGTGATCATATCATGATCGACCACCTAGAGACAAAGCTCTCTGGGACTTCCAATGCATGCTGTCTTCACAGGTGTATGGGGAAAGGAGGTGGAGATTAATGATGCATGGGGAAATGTTTTCAGTTAAAGCACAGATAATGCTTATTTACCCCTTTGTGAAGCTGCTACTTGACAGGAGACATTTGGCACATCACAGTAAGCACCAGTCCAGCCAGACGGACAGACACATCGAGTGTGGGCTCCATGTTGGACACATGTGCCTTTATTCTTACAGGGAGATTTGCTGCACAGATCCATAAGTGCCTGAAGATAAAAAAAATACAACATGATATATGGCAACCACAGTAAGAAACACAACTCAAGAGTACAAGCTCAAGAAGCAAAGAAAGCAAGTTCTGCATAACTGGCTCCATGAGGTGATGGAAAGAAAGGGGCACTACTTCCCAAGTCTAAGCCAGGTGCTTCACTGACAAGTCTCAAGAGTTCATTTGCCTAGGAAAGCACAAATGTACAGAGAAGTAAACCCCAGATGGCAGCACCATTTGAAGAGTAAAAGCTGATCCTCTGCAGAGGGATCTTTAGCTGGGTTTGAGAAAATTCAGTTTTATCTTGGATTAGGCTTCTAGTTTCATGTAAGTAGGAAGCTTCCAGCTATCAACAGTAACAAGGGCCCTTTCTTCTCCCAAGCTCCTCCTGTCCTCACTGCTTACTGAGGATGACAGACGTGTTCCACATTTTGAGCTTTGTTTTTCCTTTTTGTCATTAGCTCCCCATGCCTGCTTTTCACCCCATTTGCTCTAGTATGGTTTCTCTGAGTTTCCCTATCTCCTGAGATCCAATTGAAACCCCAAAACTGTTTCATAACTGAAGATGGGGCAAAGTATACTGCTTTTCTTGATTCCCTATATTGAAAAAAAAAAAAAAACACCAAACCCCAAACAGACTCAGTAAATCATCATATGAAAATGGAGTGAGGACCCAAAATAACTCTGATGTAATATAAACCAGCCACTAACTGTCATTTCCTTTTCTGCGCGCTTACGTCTTCGAGGTATACAGCTATTTGATTTCAAGCTGGCTTGAGGGAAGGATAAGGTTTTAAAAGTGAGTAGTACTGGATTTTGGCTGTAAAATGCAATTTCAATTGCAGAAAGTTCTGCTTTTCAGATGCAAACTGTCTCCTCACACAGATTAAAGTAGAAAAATCCGTGCTTTCACAGGCAACCAAAAAGAAACTTGGAATTAAGTTTTATCACATGTAGTTGAGCGTGAAGAAGAAAACCACCAAGCCTCTTGCTTCTGCATTTGTAATGAGTAGCTGACTGTTTTACATGCAAACTCTATAACTTATGAATCATTGTCTGATTTTGTGCTGCTTATTTAGCTTTGCTAATTAGGTCAAGACAGTTTACCACTAAGACAAGAAGTAGAGTGTAGCTGCAATCTACAAATCTCACCAATACAGCTTATAAAATTAGAAAATTTTGATTCTTTGTATCAAACAAGTAATACATTATGATCAAGCTTCTCTGAAAATGAAGCAAACTTTCTGAGAATCCACAACATTTAATTTGGGGACAGGAAAATTAATCCTTTTCTTAAGTAAAAACAAAGCAAGCATAACAGAAGAGGAACTACTGAACTGCACAGTACTTTACAATCACTCTCAATGCTAATTCTCCCAATGAGGTTTAAGTGGTGTGCTCAGAATGCATAAGTAGGGTTGCAGAGGGGTTGTTTTTTTATATCACTTCATTACTTTGCATTCACTTCCTCCATTAGCAATACCTAGAAGCAGACGTGACAATTTAATGTCTAGCAACCCACTTCATGCATACCTCCCCCACCGCTACTAAAATGCTTCTTCCAACCACTGCTTTGTAAAGACACACTGGCATGAAAGACAGTTGCAAAATTCTTACAGAACTGTAGTGTCTTCCAGTAGTTTAAGAAATGCACAGATTTTTATTTTTTTTTAAATGCAGCACTCAGAGTACTTATGAAGGAAGCCAATAAAGTGTTTATTGTTCCAAAGCTAGAAATAGTCTAAAATCATTCCTGCTGTTTTGATAAGCACAGGAAAACAAGAAAAAAACTCTGATTTGAAAAACTGGATCAGCATTCTGTTTCCATTGTGATATGCCAAGTTTAAAGTTTTTAATAGGTACTAGTCAGTCATTTACAGAATGGGTTTGTGGCTCTGATGCTCAACTGTGGAAAACTGTAAACCGCCTGAACTTAAGTCTGCAAGTAAGACTAGAGCTTTTTATTGAGGTTGTGAGCAGGGCAATAGCATCAGTTACTGCCTCAAAACATTTTCTGGCCTCTGACAGAAAAAAAGGCTACAGTCAACCCAAAATAACTACACCTCCCTGTAAAAAACATAAACCAGTTAAGTCATGGTCTTGTTAATCAGACTGATATTCTGCTTTCTGGTTTGTGTTTATTTGACACCTTTTTTTTAAAAATACAAGATTCTGCCTTTAATCCAGACAATTTTATGTTTAAAATAAAATGCAGCCATTTTCAAAGCCAACAGCTGGTTTTGATTTAACAAGAAAATTAATCTAGAAAGTTCCAATGTTGCCTGTTCTCATAAGTAACCAAGCATTTCTCTCCTCCTTGCAAACAAGCACTTTCAATTTCCAGAGTTTTGAATGGGGGCACCTTCTCTGTCAGACAGAGTCACCGGATTTATTTTTCCTGGGGCTAACAGGCCAACCACCTTTTACCAGCAAAGAAGGAACAAGAGCTCTGCGTGTTTGGTACCTCACATCTAACCCAGTCACTTCTGCTGTAGGCCAGCTCAAACGACAGAGCCCTGTACAAAATGGGCAAGAAAACGTGACCCACCTGACAGTTCTTCCCAGTATAACCCAAAGGACATATACATCGGTATGTGCCCAGACTGTCCACGCAAGAGCCTTTGTTCAAGCAAGGATGTGAATCACACTCATTAATTTCCGTGAGGCAGAAGGGTCCTGTAAACCCTACAGGACACTGACAAGTAAAGGAATTGATCCCATCCACGCAAGTACCTCCATTGAAACAGGAGCTGCAAGAGAGTGAGAACAAGGGTAAGATGAGACAAAATGCAATTAGCTTAGAGCCAAACCAGCACATAAATATTACTGACATGAGAAAGAAAACCCAATTACAGGATCTTCTGACCACTGGTAACATCCTGATAAAGAAGCATAAATCAGGTAAAAGCAGTTCCAGGGGACTCGAGCTCAACCTCCAGCTCACTGTCTTTTACCTTGGCAGGTGAAAAAAGTAAAGCAGGCCTTCAATGAATCATTAGTTATGGAGGTAACTTATTTAATGAAACCTTCTCAGCTTCAATCTGACCAATCCTACCTGGTACTGTACCAGGTAGGCGTGTGGCTTGCTCAGACTGATAAATTTTATACAAATTTTATTACAAATTACAATTGTATTACAAATTGTGAGAAACAAAACGATTTACATATTTTTAAAGCTTCAAAGGAGTCACAGGTATGTTTTCTCAAGGAAAAAGTTCATATAACATGCAAAACACAAGCATGTTCTTTACTGAAATTATGTGAAAGTATTGGTATTGCTAAATCCCCTTCTCCTCTTCTCATGAGAACCTTAAGTCCTTGATTAGTAAAACTACTCATACATGCCCTGGCAGAATTCAGATCAAAGGAATTGTCCCCCTCCCCCCAACCTTCTGATCATAAATTCTGCCAGATTAGGTGTCCTACTGAGAAGTGACTGGGAAAGTCAGAAGTGATGCCTCATGCAAAACTGACTCCTTTTCCTTTCTGAAGAAATGCCTGCCAGGAAACTCCTGTTTCTCTGAAAATAGCCCTAGATCAGACTCAAGATAATAAGTCTGATAAAGTACACAAAACAAATTCATGCTTGTTACCTGTTTTGTGCACTCTCAAAGGGTATTTCTGCAAGAGAAGCCACTGATTCACCTCCTTGAACTGCCAGTGCAAGAGTCCAAGTTCTAAGTATTTAGATTATGACTGTGATTATGGTAGAGGTGTCAATATTAACCTGTTTATCAGAGACAGGTTCCTCTGCCTTGTGGGCTGAATTCTTTTTTACACGGAGCAGAAACTGCTGTTTACATTCAAGGCAAAACAAGAGAAGGCAGAGGAACTGTCAATCACTTGGTATGTTTCACTGAAATCAGGTACCCATCTCCAAAAGAAGATGGCACTCTCCCACAGGCGGTTTGTCACACAAGACATGGAAGAATTATTTGAACCAAATTCAAATTAGCCAACCATCATGGAGCTATTAAGTACAGCTCCATAAATTCTGGTTGAGAAGGTGTGATTGGCTTAGCTTGGCAGAGCATTGAAAATTGCTAGAGCCTTCATTCATACCTGCAAGACTGGTTTCTGTCCTGACTGATATCAAAAACAAAAACAGGATGAACCCCAAGGAAGAAACCAGGCTAAACATCCAACATACTTTACTTGATTAAACAACTGTTGTGCAAATTAAACACACCCTCATCAGTGACACAATTCTGTTCTTATGCAAAAGATATTAAAATACTTCCTCCCCCACAAATGCAATTTTATAAAAGATAAGAAAGATCTTTTTTTCATGTGCAGAAAATGCATGAGATTACCAAGAGCTTCCCATTAGGCACCTTATTTGTGTCTGGTACCTGGACTAGAACAGACTGGGTTTTAAAACTTTTTTTTAACTATTTCAAGCTTTATTATTGTTTCTATTTGAGAATCTGACGTTAATTACATCACTCCTAACAAAGCTTAAAAAATATGCAGGCAGATGATGGATACACAGGGTTAACTCTCAAAGAGCTTTTAAAACTACCAAGTCAATCATTTCTATAAGGACCAACCACTGAGCATTTTAACTCAGTTCCACACCTCCCTCTCAGAATGACCTCAGGTTTTACCTCAACACTGCTAAACCACATCCAATTTGTGAGCATTAAAAAACCTCTGATGATTAAATCCTTCCATTACAGAATTTGTGAATTTAGTTTTCTTCCTGGTTGGCTCTTCATATTATTTGCTATCAGTAATCAGGGCTAATTTATTTTTCCTTTTTTTCTAAGAGTTGGCCATTGCTTCCATTTTTGCAGCTTTTGTAGTTCTCAACAGAGCAACTAACTGTTCATAACCAATCAATGATTTCTCCTCTCCTATACGATAATGATCTTATAAAATTATAAATTATTATGTTTTAATAAGCTAGCATTTGCTACTATCTCAGCATCTGCAAAACACTGTCACATTCCTCCTCTAATGGAATTAAGCTTCTGACTAGTTGTGCAAATTGAAGACCCACTCTGGCAGGCAACTGTGTTTCAGCTGATATCCTGCACAAGGCAAGCAGGTTTTCCTTGCAGGAATCACAAGCATGTCCAAGTGACAAAAGGCAGGAAAACAGATCCTCATCATTACAAACTGCTTCAGAGTAGTACTGACATCATGCAGCAGCACAGTGAAGTTATCTCACCTCTCAGTGCATTCATCAATGTTGTTCTCACAGTTGGTTCCCTCAAACCCAGGCTGACATTTGCATGTGTAGCTGTTGACATAGTGGGTGCATGTGCCTCCATTTCTGCATGGTTCACTGAGACATTCATTGGTATCTGTTTGACATTTATCTCCATGAAATCCAGGTAGGCAGATGCATGAGAAAGAGTTTATCCCATCCACACAAGAAGCTCCATTTTGGCAGGGATCTGAGACAGAAGCATTACAGTAAGTATTAAAATGGGCAACAGTCAAAGGCCAGGCCTAGAGTAGTAGCTTTTAGAAAAGAGTATCACATAGCACAGAGCATGATAGACTACTGACAAAGTTTTCTGAGCCACTTCATGGAAAAGATAATTGCAAAGCATTATCAATGACGAATTCATAAGGTGGTATGGATCAAAGCCAAGCTTCAGGGCCTAAAGGTTTTTCCGCCAGGATCTGCTCAATGCAAACCAACAAAACCACACCAATAGTCTCGCTGTTTAAAATTCAAACTCTGATTTTTTGACAAACATCTACTGATAAAGACAATACAAACAGCACAGCAACTATTTCTTCTTCCTCACCAATTCTTACTCTTAAGAGAACTCAGCCCATTCTCTCTTTTCCAGACACTGCTCAACACATGACAGAACTTGCGTGCTTAATTTTAAGCATGCAAGCAATCCAGTCAAATCAAGCATGTATATTATTTCCCTGTCCATGGCAGGGGGTTGGAACTAGATGATCTTAAGGTCCTTTCCAACCCTAACTGTTCTATGATTCTATGATTAGTATGTACACCAGCACTTACGCATTACTGAGCACTTAGCACTTTTCCCAGTATCAAAGCTTAATTGCAGAAAGGGTGGCAGAAAATTGTCACAAATTCATACACACCTTGGATTCTCCTCACCTCTGCATTTCTTGCCTTTTTTTTTATACCTACCATAAGCTTGCTATTTGTGTATCACCTTTTTTTGATCTAAGCCACTCCCTACTACTGTATTGCTTCTATTCCCATGAGTACCAATCTGCCCAAAATATCCCTACCATTCAGCAGTTTCTTCCCACTTTGCTCCTTTCATTTTTGGACTTAAGACCCACTTTCCTCTGCTGAATATTGCCTCTGAAGCCAGATTCTTTTTCTACTCTTCATTTCCTAGACCAAAAGTCTATGTATGTGAAGGCAGGGAGAGAAACTGGGAAGGGGGAGGAAAAGGGGAAACAGGAACAGTATGAAAAGAAAGGTTACAGAGCAGAGTTTTTTTTATCTTTGACTATCTTTGAGTAATACTAAAATATAAACTCGAAAATGCAAATAGAATCCACCAAAAATCTGCAGTTCAACACAAGTACAAGATCATTCTGCTCACTGGTAAATGAAGGAAACAGATGTGAAAGGTAATTAAATCTCATTTATTGACCGAGAAATATGTTCACATGATATAAATTTGTATTAGACACACCTGCATCCATTTAAAGGTCATCTGACTACTGGAGAGAAAAAGCACATTCAAAGTGAGACCTCTGGCAGCTATAAAATGTTGTGTCTATGGCAGTCAGCCATTTATGACTAAAGTCAAAAGCTGCACGTTAATTTTCTGTGCCACACATTTACTGACAGAAAAAGGAGACTCAAGTATCAACTTTTCAATAAGTTCTTGTTGTTGGAGGGTTTGTTTACTTCACAGATTAAAGACATTTGGCTCAAGCCATGGAAGGTTTTTGTTATGCTAAATGAAATCAGCTGTAGCAGTAATTTGAAATTCTTCTTTAACCTCATGGGTGTGCTGCCTTACAGACAACACAGGATGAATCTCACAGCTCTCAAAACACTTAGGAACAGAGAGAGATTTCCCAGCTGCTCAAGAGGGAAAGATGAATGCTTTAAAAATGTTTTTATCTTCAGACACCCACATAAAAACTAAAAGGACAAGCAATAATTTTGTTGGCTTCAGTAAGTAAGGCTCTGGGTCAATGCACTTCAACATTCTTTGTACTCTACCTGTTTGCACAAAGAGGGGCAATCAAAAGCTCAGATGTTTCAGAAGTTCTTTCAGCAGTGCTGCTTTGGGATCTCCTATGGTAACTTTTGTTAATATTAAGACTTGTTCAGATCCTACTTTACAGCAGTCACACACTTCAGATTTTTTTCAATGCAAAACACAACTCTCTAAATTCATACCTAAAGTCTTTAAGACTCTGGTTTGGTTCTGAGGCATTCTAATAAAAATTAGAGGGTTTAGACTTTTTTTTTTTAGCCAGCTAATTTTAAAATTACACCATTGTGAACTCCTCTGAGGTTTGATAAAGCACTTTTCAAATAGTAAGCAATGAACTTTAAAATACATGACACTTCTCAGGAGACTCTTGGTTTTATCTGATGATTATACAGAATATGCCCAGCAAGAAGTTACTATGTATTTGGTTTCCCTCATAAACAGCAGTGTCAAGGGCAGGAAATTAACATTTGCTTTCCCATAATTTAAACCATTTCAGTACTCATCTGTGTATGGGCTATCCTCCTGCAACTGGTAACTGTTCCGGAACAGAAGGCCTTCCTACTGAGTAATATGCTTTCAAATCAAATAGATAACCAGAAGAGCAACAGGACCCACCCTCTCCAGAATATTAATGTCAGACAGAGGCTTTTCAGGGAAGACTGATATACCCCAGATTCCCACCACACCTCAGTCAAGCTTAATGTTGAAATACAGGTAAGCCCTGAAGTGTTACTTTAACTTGGTGTATTAAAATTTCAGGCAAATGTAATTCTTCATTTAACAGTGCTCCTTATTAAAGTATGTAAACTCTAAGGACCTTTTCAAGTTAAGAATCTGGGAACAACTGCTGTCAGAACACTGTAGCCCATTTCTGATGGATTTTGACTGCCTCAAACATGAAAGTCTTACAAAGCTAAGTTTTGGGTTTTTTTGTTTTGTTTTTTATTTTTTGTAAGAGGTTATTAAAGAACTTTCAGTAATTGTCAAATAGCGGCCAGCAACAGCACAGAAAAATTATTTCTAGGGAAAACTGGAAAACAGGACAATCTGCTGATACTCACTTGAAAGGCAGTCATCAATGTTACTGTCACAGTCTCCTCCAGTGAAGCCTGGCCGACATTCACACAGGTAACTGCCCTGAATATTATGGCACAGAGCATGATTTTTGCAGGGCTTGGAGAGACATTCATCAATATCCACTGTACATCTCTCCCCTGAAACATGGAGAATGCCCAAGTAAGACCCCTCAAAAGGCAATGGTTGGAAGGCTCAATGCCAGTACTGCTTGGTGTTGACGGTACAGTACGTTCCCCACCCACATTACCTTCCCAGCCAGGGGCACATTGGCAGGTGTAGCCTTCAGAGTCAGGAGATTCTTGGCAAATTCCCGAGTTCTCACAAGGATCAGGGGAACAAGGAGCAACCACTACCTGGCAGTTCACACCTGGAGAGCAGCAGGGGAAAACCAGTAAGAGTATGCTGCTAAGAGCTTGCTGCTTCTTGGAAGAATGAATAAAGAGTTGTAACTTTCATGATTATCCTACACAGCAGCGGACAGCATTTCCATATTTGAAGACTCTCAGCAGAAGGAAAAGGGGTTCGGAGCACTCATCATGAACTCAGTGGGTACAAGCAGACAGCAGCCGTGGTAATTTCAAGTTTAATGTCCCCTCAATTCACAGTGCACTTACACATCTCAGTCTAACTTTCTTACAAAAAAATTGAGCTGAGCTGCCACCAGGACAGTTCTTAGTGAATCCAAACAAGGCTTAGATATTAAGATACTAAGTATTCTAGTATCATGTCTACATGAACTGATTGTAATCAAACTTTATGGAACCCTGGCATTTTGCCTTTTGATTCCTATTTTGGTAAAGTTTAATAAAAAGATTAAAATGGTGCAATGAAGTGGAAAGATAAAAGAACACAAACTTCTCTCTGAATTTTCACCTTTGAATCCTTTCCTACAGGTACATCTATATCCATTCAGCAGATCCTCACAGGTTCCTCCATTCTGGCATGGGTTTGATTTACATTCGTTCCCTTCTGTTGAACAATAATCTCCTATCCAGCCTGGGTCGCAGACACACTTGTACCTTTAAAGGCAGAAACAGCAGTAATTTTAGAACATTCTTAAATAACTCCTCTTCCAGTTTCTCCTGCAGATTAGTTTTGGAGAGAAAAGTAGAAGACTTCTCTTTAGGAGTTACGTTTAGATTGCTTACCCAAGCTGTATAGTTTTGGAAACACTGAAAATAAATCCTCCCTTAAAACCACACTTCCCCCCGTTACAGTTTTCACAAAGTGCTCAATCAACCATCAATGTTGCTGCTTTGATAAGAACATCTCAACACATTTAAACAAAGACAGAAGAAAAAAAAGATTACAAAAGTGGAGGGAACAATAGGTTCCAAAGCTAACTAGAGTGCTTTAATACAAAGTAGTGGTTACAAATGAAAACAGCTGGCTGGAAGCAGGACCAATCTTCTCCATCACATTTAAAAATCTGGAGTAGAGAAGTGCTCCACCTATATGACACACAACCAAGGACTTGGTGAGTCACCCTGGACTAGGGACACACAACACACACACTGTCCTCCCTCCCTGTCATGCAAATAAGACATTTTATCTGGAACCAAGTGTAAGGTATACATGGGCATAAATATGAATGCAGAAGAGAGATAGACAAGATGAACCAAAACATTTGTTTTCCAAGCTTATACAGAGGCTGAATTACCAATAAAGGCAGCCTTCCAGCCAGCTCCAGGGAAAGTGCTGAATCCTGCTCTACAGAGCTACCCAGAGTGGTAAATCACTTCCTTGCTCAAGTCCTGACAATACTTTCTAGGACACAGCACACAAGTGGGAGGCATCGCTATTGCAAATACAGTTGAGAAGTTTCACAAACATAAGCCCTACCTCCCCAACCTGTTGACTCCACAGGTCCTGATCTCCCAGACTTATCATTACCAAAAAGAGGCCTGATTCAGGGCTCCTGAAATCAATATTTGGTCTTCCAAGATGTGAAGATTCAGAAGTTAACTACTGCCATCAAAATCACCAGAAAGAGATTTCCCTTCTCTCAGGCATGCAACAATATGACCAAAGTTGACAAAAATCTCAGGCTTGGACAAACAGTTCTAAGTCAAATATCACTCTCTCTCTCACTGTCTAAAGTTGTCTGCCTATTCCTTCATACAGAGTATTTGGGTAGCAAGAACAGCACTAGCCAACAAAATGGTCTCCACGCGTAACATTTTAGAGTTTGATGAAATAGACAGCTGCCACTCCACAAAGATTCAGTTTAGAACTATTTCTTTATTTTAATTGCATTCACTCTACTCACTTGAATTGCCAACCCTCCCTTTAGATGGTGGCAGTTCACCCTGCACTACATGCCCATGCAAAGACAGCGAAGAATACAATACAGGACATAAAGACCTATGTTGAAACAGCACAGACTGCAGCTGGTGACTAAAGGTCTACACCTTACTGCGATGATTTAATGGGCAGTAAATTAGTGTGGATCCTGATCTGAGAAATATTTAGAGAAAAATCAGAAAATTCAAGTCAAGATGGAACGCTGGGTAAAGGAAAAAAATAAAGGGTATAGAAGGCAGCAGGTAAGTTTAACATGATAATAAGTACTTACCCACTAGCAATATGTGTGCAATTGCCATGTACACATGGGTTACTAAGACAGCCATCTGCCTGTGACTGACAATGAGGATGATGGTATCCTTCAGGACATACACACCGAAAGTTATTGACTTCATTTATACATGTTCCACCATTATGACAGGGATTGGATATGCATTCATCAATGTCCACATTACAACGAGGGCCTAGAAAAAAAAAACAACCCAGTACTTATAAGGAGTATTTCTTATAAGAGCATTTGCTTTGCATGTCTGTGAGAACATACAGTCAGACACAATTCTGTAAAGCCATTGCAGCGGGACAGAGCTTGCATGCCTCTGTGCTTTAACTGAAGTCAAGAGAAGCATTTTTTAAAGATGCAGCACTCTTCTGTGCCTGGAAAACAGCACTTACACTCAACAAGTATTTATAAGCCATTCAAGTATCTCAACAGAATTCCACTAAAAATCACTGGTTAATATTGATTAGGAAGGCAGAAATCACTCAACTGTATCATGCTTGAAACAAACCTTGAGTTCCACTTGCCATAGCCCTGCTCTTCTGCTTTGAAAGTACCTACCCTTCGAACAATCAATACTGCCATACTGTCTGCAGTAAATACAGTTCTTGTGGTTTATTGCGCAAAAGGGACTCTAAGAAACACCGTTTCCTGTTTTGCCTGTCTCTGATTACGACTGCAAGATTCTTGAAGTAGTGACCACTACATCTTGTGAGGCTGGAAAGCTAAACAAAGTGAATGTTGTAGTAAGTTGAAAGCATTTTTAACACAAGGAAAGGACAAAGTAACAAGACCCCATGCAAGCCAGCTCTTTAAATACTGGAATATCCCAATTCGTCAGATTACTGAATTCTTTTAACAGCATAACAGTAAGAAGTCCAGCAGAATAACAAATATGTTATGCCAGCAATAGTGAAGACTGAAAGGCAAGAGTGATTAGCATCATGCCTCTTCCTTTTCTGAGGACTAAAGAGCACCACCATGCCAGAGCCAAAGAAGGAAGGAGCTTAAAGTTTAGAAAGACACCAAGAGAAAAGCAAAAGACACATGAAACCTCTTAGTGCTATTTCTAATGCATTTCAGATCAATTCTAATTAGAATCATTCAGTAATAAACAGTAATAAACGTGATGAGAAAACTGTTATAAACAGTACCAACTGCTTTACAGTAATTATTTTATGAGCACATTACCCTACATGGCTCAAAACATAATAAGTCCATTATAAACAGTGCTGAGATGTGCTTTAGTCATCAGAAATAGTCCTGATGTAGACCTACAGTTCTAAGCATGGATACACCAGTGCCTAAAAGCTTCTTTTTTCAGCCCTATTTTTAGTCTATTAGCTAAGTCTTCATAATTGAAAAAGGAAACAGAATAGAGCACACTATGAAACAGAAGCAATGAAAAAAAGAAGGGTATTCATTTGGATACTTCAGAGTGGAGAGCAGCTCATTAGAACACTGACTTAATAATGCTTTGCTTTCACAGAAACAGAAATACTGTTCATGATCAAAGCCCAAGGTACTGTCTAATCAAACACCTCTATATTGTCCACAGTCTCTCTGCCTGTGGAAAGAAAATGTAAATAATAAACCAAAGTCACATGAGTTTATTTGTTATAAAACCAAGAACCATGAATTAGATGAAACTGCCTAACAAGAATGGCATTTCACAGCACAGATCAGACCATTTTTCTGCTTGGTAGAGCTTTCTGTAATGTGAGATGCTGAGGTTCAAGGATTAGAAGGATTTACTAGATAATGAGTCCCTTGCAGTCAGTATGCAAAGAACAGCTTCCTTAGCTACCTGGATAACTACCTTCAAAATGACTCAAAGCTATTGGGTTACTGACTTTACCTGTAAATCCAGGTTTGCAAGCACAATTGTAGCGATTAATGCCATCAATACAGTCCCCGTGAATGCATGGGTTACTTGCACAGTCATCAAAGTTATTTTCACAGTTCACTCCTGGAAAAAAAACCAATCAAAAGTTAGAGAAATAAGAAGGCCAACCCTTACAAGGACAACAACAAAACTATTTCCCAGAAATAGCCAAATTAAGAATTCCATCTGCTTCAAAGTTACACATACATCGGGGCAACTTAAACAGGTGATGATGAAGAAGCATTGCGACACAAAGGAATGTCATCTGAGTCACTGCTTGCTGACTGAATATAACCCTGAACTGTACTAAATGTTTAAATAAAAGAATAAAGCCTTTTGAATACCATGCCTATTTTTCCTGCATGTCTGAATTTTGGGAGTAAAGAGGAAGTAAGTTCTTCCAAGACCAGCTGCAGTACCAGTGAGGTTAGGCAACCCACACAACCACACCAAAATTCAGCAAGGAGAAGTAATGTGAAAATGATACTGTCATACCACAAGCTTATCTGTGTATGCAAATTTAGCACACACCAGAGCACACATAAGAAATAATTAAATGGTTGAATACTGTTAAAATCCAGTATTTTCACATGTGTTTTATGTACCTGAAGTGCCCAGCAAACAGTTGCATTGGTAGCCATTCACCAAATCAATGCAGCGTCCCTGATGGAGGCAAGGATTGCTGTGGCATTCATCTATCTGCTCGCTGCATATGGCACCCATGTAGCCAGGATTGCATATACATGTATATGAATCAATTCCATCTTGACACTCCCCATGGTGGCAAGGATCAGGATCACAGTTGTTGATATTCTCCTCACACAGGAGGCCAGTAAAACCTAATAAGAAATGATGAACAGTAGTAATTAAAAAGTCAACTGGTATGATGCTGCTGTGAAGATAATGCAAATATAGAAAGAATCATATTAAGAATCCGCAAAGTGGCAGACAGCACAAAGGGAAACTGGACATCTCTACTGCTGCCCATTTTCCAGTCCTGGAAAACAATACACTTCCACTGCTCACAGCATTACAGAACAACATCTTGCGTGGAGAATCCTGGCATTGGAAGTGGTTACCTTTAGTTTATTCAGAAAAGTAGCAATGAGAGTAAACATGTAAATCTCCATGAGAAATATTTACTTCCATCAATATAAACTATTTGAAGGCACTCTCCTATCATTATTTCCTCTAGACAATACAAGGAGGGGGGACTTTTTTAGAATGAGAAGTTACTGCAAGGATGCTGCAGAAACCTCCCCAAGGGAACTCCCTTGGCTCATTTCAAAGCTTCTGCAGCTCTCAGAAAGTTTCTTGCCCCTCTCATTGGGAAACCTTTCAATAACTCCAATCAAGCAGCAACTGCAAATTTATGAAAGACTGCATGCAACCTCTTCAGTTAGGAGCAATGAAACAAGCAGCAATCTGGCCTGTTTCATGCTGCTTCAGCTGGGAAACATCCTGAGCAACACAGGAGGACAGTCTATTCACCAGAAGGGATAAAACAATGGTTCAGGAAGCTAAGAACAGCAAACAACTCCCTCAAGAGCCCTATTTTCCATGATGGAGCAGAGCTGTATGAAATGGGGACAATTTAAAATAAGTGGTTTTCGGAGATGATTTTTGGAGCAACTGCTCATGCTGCCTTCCAGCAGCTGAAGATTAGGAAGGTAGAACTTCAAATTTCAGACACCAACTGGAGACTGATACAAACCAAGCTGCAGGGAATTTCAACAGCTGAAGAGTGATTCTCACCTGAGTGTTATAAGTGGATAACAGGCTCCCCATTTTTCATACAGGTTTGTGGTTATTTCTGTGGTCAAACATACCAGGTGACGGCTAACATTTCCAAGTTCTGCGAACGTATGCATGGATGAATGGGTGTGGAGGTAGGTGGGGAGAGGGAAGGGAAGCTAGTTAGAGAGATGGATATAAAAAGATGTTAGGGAAGGAAGAAAACCAAACCGATAAAGAGGACAAACGGGGGGGGTGGGGGGTGGGATATATACAGAGGCAAAAAAAAGAGGAAAGGCCTAAGACAAATCAAGAAAAGAAAAGCCATGATCTATCACTGGGAAGGAGAAGTGGAATAATGCCAGAAGGGAAAGAAAAGACAAAAAGCAAGCAGTAAATAGAGGTATCTGTACAGCATTTGGCCAAACATTTTGCAGTTTTCAATCACTTCGCAGCTGGCGATTACCATTCAGGGAAAACATGTCACTCATAATATAGGATTAATAGAGCAAGAACTCAAACATTATTTTCTAGTAACTGACCTGCCTCAATGATGAATGCCACATTTCAGCCTCAGAGAAGGCTGTCAATATTAAATAATATTTAGCATACATTCATTCAAAAAATTACCTTGCCTCCTATTGTAGCTCAATGTAGCTTAACTTAAAAGATGTATTTCTTGATCTCTTAACTGAATGTCACATGCAGTAATCAAAAGGAGGATTCTAACAACAGTAATTATTCCTCTCCTGATCAGAACTACTGCATTCCTCTACTTCCAACAAATTCACTGTTTCTTCAGGCACTTTGGGGAAGGATAAAAGTTTGTGACGATTCAAAATGAGAAAAACCGCACGTAAGGCTAGCCAACTTAACAGCACATTTCTGGGACAAGGGTAGCTACAGGAATTGTTCAGCCTCTTCCATAATGGAAGAGCTAAAGCCAAGGCATTCTCAATCTGCATCACAAGCAATGCATACAGCACCATTAATTGAAAGCAACAAAAGTTGTTCCTTACTGAGAATTAGAGTATAACAGCTCTGAAGCCTCTTACTTGACCAGATATAAAAATCTAGATAAAATAGATCTATATCACTCCAGAGGTCTGAAGATAAGGAAATCCCATAATTAAACCTGATGTTTCTAAATGTGTAATTAACCAAGCAGTAATGGAATGCAGTGCATTCAAAAAAATTCCGCCTCAGTTCCATGCATAGCTCTGTCCATATTTCTGTATGATGCCTGACAAATCTTTCTAACTGAATTTTGGCAAGCAGCTACCGTGTGGTATTTCTTCCAGTGGACACACTTTTCATTGCATTTCAGTCTTCCACTTTTGCAATAAAATAGCCTGACACAACAGAAATCAGAATACACAGTAGTACTGCTCCAAGTATCTCTTGCTCTTCAACTATATAATCTGACTTGGAAGAAAGAAAGGTAAGCCACAAACAAAAAGCTTCACACTGCTGTTTCTCCACTCATGGATTCCACAGTCAATACAGAAGAAGTTGTCACCTTCTGGGAAGAGAGATGGGGCTGAAAGAGGGAGGCCAGAACTCTCATCAATTGTGAATTTACTGCTGTCACAAGTGAAAGGCTTTCTGTACTTAAAACACTATCCTATGCAGCAAAGGAGCAGACAAAGCTTCACAACAAACAAGCAGTATTTTAGAGAAAGAAAGAATGCTGATGCTTCTTTTACTGTCTCTTTATGTATTTAGATTACACGTGATCTCCAGTACAGGGGCTCTGAACACAAGACTAACCTGTGGCGCACTGGCACTCATAGCCATTGGGATGGTCAATACATTTGGCTCCATTGAGACATGGTGTGCTGGAGCAGTCATCTATATCAATCTGACACACAGCACCACTGAATCCTGAAAGACAGATAAAACATGAAAATCCAGATGTAATTTGAAGTACTTAATCTAAACAGCTGCACAGTCAGAAATTATTTGTTAGCAAATCCTTAAAACCACCCAAATACAAGCTCAGTAAATCTAAACTGCATCATTAAGCACACAGACCACGCCCTGGGTGGATTTGTTCCTCAACCAAACCAACAGCCAAAACAAAGTTTCTATCCTCCAGGTCAAAGGAGCCTCAGCTTGAAAACTGAAATAGCCAAGTCAAACAGAAATAAAGCAGACAGAGGATACATAAGTGCTGTCCACCACTGGACAGTATGCCTGTCTATAAAACCGAGAAGCCACCAATAAAAACTTTCAAATAAACAAAGCAAGTAATTTAAAATGAAACAACAATGCGTAAATCACTAGAACATTCAGACTAGAATTACAGCAGTGAGGAATGTGGTACAATATAGCACTGTATCTTCCAATACACTTCTTGAAACACAAACTATCAACAGGTTATGTCAGGTAATGCCAAACCTTAGGCACTTCAGGAAAAAAAAACAAAACACTCTAGGAATGTTTCTTGAAGGAAGGAACCGAAGGAGGAGCCAGAACATCAGTAGTCAGTAAGAAGGGATGCAGAGCAGGCTTTTGTCAATTATATTCTGAACTCAAGACTTTTTGTAAGCCATCAGGAAAACAAGTGACATTTACCCTACAGCTAACATTTATCCCTGAGATCAGCATTTATCCTTCTTTTCTAAAGTGGAGACCCAATCCACCTCCCTCCTCATTCAAGCAGCAAATTACACCAATAGAAAAATGGGTTCTGCCTAAAAACCTTAAAAAAAGACAAAAAGCACACAGAGGTTCTGATTTTTAAAATGTATTTAGAATTACTCATCTCTATCTCACTGCAATACCCACAATAACAGAAGTTCATGCTGCTGAGTACCCCTCAAGGTGAGACATCCGAGAGTATGTTTCTCAGCACCTACCCAGTTCCTGGCACAATACTACTGCAACCAATACATGTTGCACTCCAACAGATGCTGCACTAAGAAAACAGAATATTGCAAGAAACACATGACCTGCAATCCCTCAGTGGTTATCTATGTAGTGGTAAGGTGAAGCAGGAAAAGCTTCCAGAAATAAGTACTTACCAGGAGGACAGACACAGAGGAAGCGATTGACTTTATCAAGACACTCTCCATTGTTCACACAGGGATTACTCAGACACTCGTCAATATCTTCTTCACAGTGAACACCTTTAAAACCTGTTTTAAAAAAAAAGGTAAGAAGAGGTGACTGAAGGCCTTAGAAGTGACTGAAGGCCTTGGAAGTGTGACTGCCTCTTATACCAGTGCTGAAAGTCAAAGCTTAGATTCATGGCAAGTCTGCAGTATGGACAGAACCTATGAGGTAAGAATATACACCGAAGGTTAGAAAGGGACGTTGAATGTGTATTTTTCACTGTTGCTAAACATGCTAACTTAACCAGTAGTAACAGAAGTTTGTGCTGAATTCACATCTAGTATGTTCTTCCACTTGATGAGAAGGGGTTATGTTTGAACACTTTAGAAGATATCAGTATATTTGGGTATACACCAACATAAGGTAAAATGTAAAGAAACAAACACAGCAGATAATTTTAGCTTAAAACCTCTTAGCAACTGACAGAGTAAAATGAAAGCATTAAGAAGGGTGAAATACTTGGGACTAGAGTTCTACCTTTCAAAATAAGATTACATACTAATAAAAACTCATTCTAATTTTCATTATATAAGCTGATCACCTGCAGGGGTCACAATTATTTCATTATATTTTGTAAGACTTGCACCTTTTTCTTTTTTTACCACTTTCTATCAGAAAGCAAAATAGCAGACTACATATATCATTGGTATGCTGGACGTGTACATTTTACAAGCATGATTTCAATCAAGTAATGTTCTTCACAGTTATTTCTTCAGGTCAATAGGAGCTTGCACCATTTGGGGTATTTTAAGCAGAGAAAAATCCCAAACACTATCATCCAGAATCACTACCTATGTATCTCTCAAAACACAGGCACTCAATCACTACCTATGTATCTCTCAAAACACAGGCACTCTTTTAAAAGTTTGCACCTGCTTTGCTTTCACAAACATAAGTTTCTGCACATGCACTTTACCAGGTATAGTAACAGGTATGTTCACATATACTCCAGAGCTCAGAATGCTAACTTACTTTGCTGATGTAGAGATTAGTTTCTTTCTCAGTCCTCTAATTGCTTTCTCCCTCCCCCACACAAACGCCAAATCCTGGCTGGTGCTGCCACAGCAGGCTCTCTCTCACCATTTCATTTAGCCTTACCCCTTTGCAATTTTGCGTTCCACCTCAGCAGAGCTGGCAACCCTCCCTGTGCTCAGCCTTCTGATTCCTTCCTCTGCTGCAAACCCCATCTTTGTCAGAAACTCCCATTACCTGGCATACAGAGACACGTGAATCCCCCGATTTTATCCAGGCAGGTGGCATCATTTTGGCATGGATTTGAATGACATTCATTGATGTCCATTTCACAGCGAGGTCCCGTGTAGCCCTTCAAACATTCACAGTGGAAAGAGCCTTCTGTGTTTACACATTTCCCAGCATGTTCACATGGATTGCTATTTGCTGCAAGAAAAATATATACATGTGTGGGTCAAAACCTCTCCTTGAAGCAGGAAAGCCACAGCATTCTTTATTCGTGGTCTTTTCCAGCAGTCATTCCTTTCTGGCAAGTAATACTGGGGAAAGACTGTTCATCCTTTTTGAGAAAGGCTATTGTGATTGAAGAAAACATGTAGCAGTTACTTGCCTGTCAGAGGTAAAAAGAAAGATTACTGTCATTATCTATGGACCAAAGAAGCAACTCCAGTCTGTATTACTAATGACAGTTCTGAAGAGGAGAGTATCAACTAGCAGGGATTAGAGAATGAATGTTGCTTTCAAGGCCTTATCTAGATCATCTTTTACTTCACTCCTAAGGCTGACAAAATGCCACTACAGCCACAAAACAACCTAGCTAGCTCTTCCTGTGCTGTCCAAGGCACGCTGAGGAATGAAATTCAAAGTGCTTCTTTCCAACACTGGTCAGGCATTACCTTCATGCATCTAGAAGCATGAAGTAGCACTCACAAACCTATAAGTAAGTCTGTGGGATTCCAGCTAATCCCCCAAAACAGCGCAACAGCAGGATATCTTTAAAAGCCCACATGGTCACCAGTCTTGGAAGGCATTCAAAAGATCCAGCCATATTCTGGCTGTCAAACAGCCTCTGATATATTTCTACTGAGGCAGGAGCTGCGACAACTCCCACACAAATTGTGGTAATTTCATTGTACACTGCGGTTCTAAGGGTCAGGTTATCACATCTGTTTTCATGCACTCCTTGCACAATGCTAAGGCCCTTTTGCACAATTAATAATGGTTAAGCATCTCGCTGCTTTTCATACTCCAGAGGCTAACAGTTCAAACATGGACAGCTATCCTGTCTCAGCCCTTTGCCCCAAGCCTCAAACAAGATTTAAAACTCGTCTAAAACCACTGAAATGAAAGAAGGAGAGCAGGAAAAGGAGTCACACTTTAAGTTGAGAAGCTATGACAAAATTCATATTCTTGCTCTTTTTTTTAGTTCATAAAGCAAATAATCCAATTCCCGGTTAATGTACTCACTAATAGCAAATAGAAACTCACCCATTGCACATTCATCCACATCCTCAGTGCAGTCTGCTCCCTTATGGCCTTGAGGACACGTGCAGATGTAGTGTCCATTCACAGGATTGGTATCACACAGAGCACCCTTCTGGCATGGATTGCTAACACATGCATCATCCAAGTGGCACAGAAGACCTGGAGAAGCAACCGAAGAGTTTACCAAAAAAAGTGGGATATAGCAGTCAGACTATGCTACACAACGAAATCCTCTGTCCTGATATATTAAATAGAGACTTCCACAGTGAGAAGCTTAAGCAATATTTAACAGGCTTCAACCTATAGACTACCACGGAGATTTCACCACACACTTAAAAACTCCTTACATTTAAATGTAGATTCTATGCCTTCAGAGATGACTACAGTACTTCTGGAGCAGTACAATGGCTTACCAAAATATTCTCCTTGGAGCAGTTAACTATCTCTTTTCTCTAACAAGCATGATGACTTTTCTGACAGATGAAGACACGGTTGCACATGAAGCTCACATTCTTAACTCAGATATCTTGATCACTTGCATTTCCAGGTAGTAGTACTTAGGAGACCCTCATATTTTCACCTACCCTACAATAGCAATTTTTTCCCTATACCCTATCCTCACTCACACAGAATAAATTTACCTTCTAAACTTTTAACTGCAATTATCCTAAGTGGCAGAGAGAAAGTCACCCTCGTGCGTAACTTTTCAGACAAATGCAGGTTCTGCTAAGGGCTACAAAGAGATCTGCTTTCCTTGCAATCTAAACTGTAAGAAGTTTGTCTTCCAGTCTAATACAAACACTTCTTTGTCCCATGCTACAGGGGTTTAAAAGGTCTTTGCTCATGCATAGCATATGTTTCCTTTTGTTCTTCCTGGTTTGGTCACAAAGTGTGTAAAATAAACATACCACTTAAGCAAATGCATAAACTTCAGGAAGTATCTTCTATTAAGTGTCAGACCTATGCAAGTTTTCTGTCCTTACCGGCCTTTCCTTCTGGACAAATGCATGAAAAAGAAGCCACTCGATCAATGCAAGTAGATCCATTAGCACAGGAAGCAGTGAAGCAGTCATCAATATTCTTACTGCAGTCATCCCCACTCCAACCATTGACACAGACACAGGCATAGCCTCCGTTGTGGTTGGTGCAGGTACCTCCATTCTGACAAGCGTTGGGCTGGAGCTGACATTCATCAACATCTTCAGTGCAAAACTGGCCTGACACACAGGAAGAAACAAGTTCAACAGAAGTTCAAACACTCAAAATGTTCTCTTACAGAAAACATACCCAAAGGAAACACTGTAATCCAACCCTATTGACACCTTATTTCTAGGACATCCAAGCTTGCAACTTCCAACAACAGTGTTATCAAATTACACAAAGACAATAAGCATTCTTAAATGACACCAAAGTAGGAGGTAAACTACAAGTAACTCTAAAAGGCACAATGTGAGAGCCAGCAGGTAGCCTGTAGTATGTGAAAATGCACCTGTGAGGATGTAAGAAAGAATAAAGGCTGCCTGCAACACAGCCCAAGGGATTATGAAAAGAGAAGATGGCCTCACAAGAAAATCTTGGCCAAAGCAGTGTCAACAGGCCAGCAGCAAAGAAACTCTTGTCAGAACTTAATTATTTTCTCTGTAATTATGCAATGAAGATTAATTGATAGGGAAGCACAGAATTCTTGAGACTCTTCTACCTAAAATACTCCTTTACCTTCCCCCAGGTATTTCCACAGACAATGCCAAATATTTTGGGTTTCCTTGGTTGTTCTTTTGGGGATTTATTTGGTTGTTTGTTTATTGGGTTTTTTTCAGAGACAAAATAAATATTCTAATAAACACTTTAAAGATACTGGAGAGAAGAAAACAAATGTACAGTGTTTCAGAGAGTTTTAAGAAATAAGACCACTGGACCACTAACTATGCAACCAGTTTCATGGGATAGCAAATTTCACAGTCACCTCTATGTGAAGCTCTGCAATTCATGTTTACTAAGTATTTATTCAAATCCATCTTGCTTTGACATCTAGATCTGGAGAATTTACCACTTGCAGCACTTTTTTAACACTTATTCATCTTCCCAATGAAAGTTACATGGTTAATGCTGATTTTTTTTAGTGTAAGTTTGAAGTAATTCATTATTTTGAGTTTCTTGAGCAGAAAAAGAAAACCTAATGGCTAAGCACTGGGTAATTTCTTCCCAGGCTGTCCACAATTTTCTCTGCAATAAACTATTTCTCTCCTTTCTGTTTCATTAAGAACTCTCCAGCACTGAAGCTTGAGAGTGTGCTTTTTTTTAACACTTCCTTATAACTTACTTTTACCACCCTTCCTAAAATGTTGATATGATGCACATAGCAGCAAAAAAAATCTTTATCAGAGAATAAGATTAGATTTGTTTGATGTGATCATTTGTTTTTCCACTCTCTCTGACACCATTAGATCCCTCACTAGCTTGCAGCAGCTTTCCATTATTTGAGTGAAGACTCTCAAGTCACTGTTCTGCTACTATCAAGATCCTCCCATTTGTCACCTCCAGCTACTCTATCAGCTGCACGCTTACATTTACCTGGAATTCCCCCATATTCCAAGAGTAAGAAATTCAAGAACAGGTCACAGATCTTCCCTCTCAGCATGCCTGGGATCCAGTTTATTTAGGTTTGCCAATTCAAAACCACTTATTAGATACTGCTTAAGAGTCACCTTGTTTATTAATGGCCCAGGAATTCTTATGCAAAAGCGCACACCCATTCTCCTCCCATTCACAGAACTGAAACAATTATTTTTGGCAAGAAGGCAAGAATGCAAAAAGCCTTCACCATCTCCATCTACTATATTCAAATCATGATCCCTTTTGTTTCCAAAGTACTTAAATAAATTGTAGCGTTCAGTCCTGAGAGCCCTGGATTCTTTTCCCTTAGTAGCAAAGAAATAAAATTATTAAGAAAAAGAAAAAAGTTGCACAACTTTGTTCTGTGCATGTGCCCCTTCCTCCGGTCAGACTACTTCAAAACAAGGATTGTGTCACTTGAAAAAACAGTAACATTTTTAGTAATAACGACAATAGAGTTTTCAGAATTAACTTTCACTTCCCAGTTTACTTTGTAAAACAGTTGGGGGGGAAATCTAACACTTCATACTGTTATCTGCAAAACACAGCACCCTTCATTATGACAAAATAAATGCATGCATTTGTCATAATAGAATAATTTCTTCATTAGCTTTCAATATTAGCTTATCAGTAGCCAAACTGGAAAAAGAAAGTTATCACAAACTGGTTCCTAGCAACTGTGCATATCTCAATATAACTGACTTCCTTTTGAACAAAATTACCAAGATGTTATTTGCTTATTATAAAAGCGATTTTCCTTCATTTCTTGGAGATGGCCCAACTCAGATCAAAGAACATAGACAGAGAGTATGCACAATCATTTTGCAGAAGCATTCTTACAGCATCTACATCCTCCTTTTGATTGCAGCCAATTTCAACTCTATCACTAAAGTGTGGAAGGTTTTCAATGCTGAAGTTGCCACATTACTCCGGATTGTTATGTCTCTCTCAAAAACACTTGCCTTGCGACTGGATGAATAGAACTGCTGAAATTTGGGGCCTACAAGAATAACAGACAGGGACTGTAGTGATAGGACAAGGGGTAATGGGTTTAAACTTAAACAGCAGAAGTTCAGTTTAGGTATAAGGAAGAAGTTCTCTACTGTGAGGCTGGTGAAGAACCGGAACAGGTTACCCTGAGAAGTGGTAAATAGCCTATCCCTGGCAACGTTCAAGGCCAGGTTGGACAGAGCCTTGGGTGGCATAGCTTAAGTGTGAGGTGTCCCTGACCATGGCAGGGGATCGGTAAGTAGATGACCTTAGGATCCTTTCCAACCCAACCATTCTGTGACTCTGCAAATATAATATTCTGTGGAATTTGTTTTGGTGGGCTGGTGGAGGGTGTGCCCATGTTTTGTGGTGGGTTTTATTTTTATTTTTTTATGCAAAGATAAGAAAAAGAACCCCTCATACAACCCCCCCTGTGCTTGGTTTTAACTTCCCATTTCAAGTGTCATTCGTAACATCAACAGATAGGATTTTGAAATATTTTTTCTTCCTAGCACTTATTCCCCCCTGCCAGAAAAGGCCTTTTCCAATAACATCACTGACATCCTTGCAGTAACCCCACGTCCTAGGCTATTCCATATTTCCACACCCTAAACTAAAACAAACTTTTAAAAGGTATGTCAGTGTCTCCAATGGAGGAGAAAAAAAGCAGAGCTTAAACTTCTTTGAGCAATTCAACTGTATTTCAAGACCACACCACTTGTGAGCTCCTCAAATTTGATTTTCACTTAGCTTCTCCACTTACTCTTTTTGCAGCTACCAGATCACAGTCTCATATATATATATATTTAATTACGAATATGAATCAAACAGAGCTCCCTCTTAATGAAGTATGTGTTAAAACCAAAGGAAATTCAAATCAACATGAGGGGTGCAAATCAACTACTAACTATTGTATTTTACTACTGAATATTTTAATGAAAAATCTTGTTATTTCTTGAACCTGTAACTGAAACCCAGACTCAACTTCTGGGCAAAAATATACAAATCAAAAACAGCATAAGGCAAACATTGTCAGATTGATATGCTCCAAGTTCTCAGTCTCATCACTACCAGGCAATGTAAGTGCAATAGCTTCGAAGGGATTTTGGAACTATGCCTTAAAATACTATAAATTCCAGTAAGAAGTCCAAGGCATTTCTTCACCAGAGCTGGTGAATAGGCTGAAAATGCTTGGGCCCTTATTGCATTCTGTAGACCAAAGACTTCCAAAGAGAGAAATAAAGGTTCCTACATGAGGTTGTCTGATTGCTTATTTGGTGGTTTTGAATCTCTAGGTGCTAACAGTATGGAATTAACTGTCCATATTGCAATTCGTCTACCAGAGTTTTGCAAGGGTTTTTTTGTTTGGGATTTTTTGTTGATTGGTTGGTCAGGGTTGTTTGCTGTTTGGTTTGGTGTTTGTGTGCACCCACCCCTCCCCATCACATTGTGTCCCACCCTTCCCCCCGCCAAAACCAGTATACACATTTATAAATGGCTTTAAAGAATGCCTTCCCCCAGAGCATCATCATCACTTAATTCTTAGTAGAATCGGAGGATGGCCACCTCTCATTCTCTAGAAAGTGCTGATCTGCCTTCAGCAGAGACTTCAACTCCTTGTGCAAATGACAGAAATAGATTAATATTTTGGGCAGGTGCTGCCAAGAGAAGACTTGACATTTCTGTTGTTAGTGGCCTAGGTCTTCAAGGTAGTGTCTGTCCCGAGAGCTTCCTGAATGATTTTTTCACAGCAGAGACAGAAGTTCCTTTCAGTGTCAGACATAAATGAGGATTTAAAACTTCTCACTGAATATTCTGCACAAGACTCTTCTCTGCAATATCAGATACAAATCAAATGAAACAGAAGATTACTGAAACATTTTACTTAAGGGATGTTGGTTTACTTAATTGTAACTGAACCAAGTATATTTATTTGTAGCCATGTACTTGGTAAGCTTGTTTTCTGCTCATAAAGAATTTTAGGAAGAATCAAGTCTTTCATTCACAGAACTGAAATTCAACTTCCAAGTGCAAACTCCATTATGAATTGTACAGTGTAATACACATCTCCAGAACCCCAGTCCTTTTGAATGCCACAAACTTCTCCAGCTAAGCATTAATTCATTTAGCTGCAAGATTCTGTAGTTATTTCTTGTGCTCTTGCTAGTTTCAATTAAATTGCTGAAACATAGTAAATATAGGGTCAGCTAGTGAAACCAAGCACAAATACACTATCTATACAGTATTTTAATGGAAATGGAGAAACATACAAAAAGACAAAAAAAAAAAGGAAACACAGACTAAGACGCTAATAAAAGCCTAACCTGACCTTGATATTTGCAGAGCCTGGGAAATAAGCAAAATGCCGACTCAGGTTCTAAATGACCTTGTACAAAGTAAACAGCTAGTCCATGTGGTATTTCAAAATTGAAAACTAGAAGTAGAAAAGGGGAACAGACTTTGACTCTTAGCACTTTTTGCCCACTTTGAAACTAAGTTACTTCCTGCATATTTCCCCTCAAAAAAAAAAGCTATTTGGAGTAAGACAGACATGTTTGCTGCTTTGATTGCTCCCATTTTCAGACCAGCAGGAACTGGACAGGAACTCCAGGAG